TATTAAATAACGTCAACGTCCTAGCAGGTAAGATAATTGAACTTTATAATGCGTCTGTTATTCTAACTTTTGTCTTATTTGAAGCTGCGCACTTGATAAAAAATATCATTTTCCCCTTGTTACTTTCGAAAATCAATGAAATCAAATTTTTCAAAAATAATATGTTATATCTAGGTAATGGTAGGTCCTATGGGATCGCTGGGACAGTCGAAAAAAAATTTTTTTTGTCTGTCAGTTCTCCGTTCTCGTCTTTTCGTTTTTCCTGAAAAACTTCCGAAACGTTGGAGCTACAAAACTAAAATTTGCCTCCTTTTTAACCCTCCACGAGGCACATAAGCTTATAAAAAATGTTGTATTTAAGGTTTTCACCTAAGTGTCCTAAATTTGCAGATATCAACTTCAAATTCAGCAGAGAAGTAAAAGTCTATGTCGACATTTAAACGGTAAAAATTGCGTGCAATCAAATTTTACCAAGTATTTTAAAAAAATGATATAAAAATATCGGCAAAATTCTTTAACCAGCAGACGCGGAAGATCCAGCGCAATAACATTTATTTCAGGCATTTTTTCGATTACATACATGGTTTTAAAATTATTGGGAAAAATGTAAAAGACCTAGAAAATTGTTCTTTTACAGAGTAAATTATTAGCCGTAAATCAAAAATCGTAAAAAATATGGCTAATTGGTTCAAACCGTGTCATTTTTTATATTCATATTCATGTCATATTTGAAAAAATTCATATTGAAATCGTTATTTTGGGGAATATCAAGACGCGATGACGTCATTGCTTATTACGGCGCACTGAATGGTTTCAGAAAAAAACTTATTTTCTGGAAAACCGTTTACTATTTTTAAAAAATTTTTGGACCAGGAAACGTGGAAGATCCAGGGCTATAATCTCTACTTCGGGCAAAACATCTAAAAGATCCTAAAAATTTACGTTTTTGTGGGTAAATTATTGGCGATAAATGAAAAACCGTTAAAGGTGGCATAATTTTATTTGAACAGTATCGTAAACTGTAAACGTCACTTCGTCGATCATACAAGGCCCGAGATATTTGAAAAAATATCATTCGATAACGCAAATGTGCAAATTTTAATATTTACCGATGTTTGCTGTAACTTTGAAGTTCGACGGGATGTGAAGGACACTTTACACAGAGTGCATGCACAATTAAATTAGATCGATTTTGCGAAAGTTCTATAGTTGTCCGCAGGAGAACGATAGAAAAACAATGCGTCCCTTTACCACACGAAACCGCGAAGCTCCTTCCTTTTTTAATAAAAAGCTGCTACGCGCTACCAACTTGCCTCGCCCAGCGACGATTTTTCGAAAGCAATCTTGTTATGTATATAAACATAGCATAGGTTAGAAACTCTATATAATGTATATAGGTTGGCAGTATTGTAAATTAGACACATAGAGGAGGTTAACTTATGAAAAAGTAATACTTGTTAAATCTCAAAAGTATTTAAGTTTATAACATGGTTTTGATCATGTAAACTTGATGAATGTGTGTTTAGTTGTTGTCGGCTTGACGTGTCAAATAAATAAGAATAAAACACCCTTGTTAATGAAGTTCAACGCTACCTACTAAATTTTAAAGCTAAAGCGTAGGCGGTGTTGTGATAAGTAGTTTCAACATTTAAATATTTTTATTTGACTAGTTTCTTTCTTGTTTATTTTAAAAAATATCTAATGCGTCGACATCTAATTTCGTCGTTAGATTAGGCATTGAACTGAGGTGGCTTTTACTTGATAAAAATCCATTTATCAAAATAAATAAAAACTAAAAGTTAGTTGCGGTGAAATCTATTAAATCTATCACATCCATAGGTGGGATACTGGGAAATAAATTTGACAATAGTGTTGCGTTAGAAGGAATTTTGATATCTTTAATTTTGTTGATTAATTAAAAAAAAAATTATTGCAAATTTTGGTTTAAAATCTGTGTGGATTTTTTTTACTAATTTTTTAATAATTTTGTTGAGAGTTTAACTGCTGGAGCTGTTACTTAAGACACGACTGGTCTAATGGGCAAATCTTGTTTATGTAATTTTTAACTAAAGAATATAATTTCGTCGGTTGCGGATTCACAATTATTAAAAAATATGTGTTTTTGTCACTAAATAGTAGAAAAACACATTTTTCACGACAATTTTGATATTTTACATACAGCCACAAAAAGTAGAAAATTAAATTTATTAGAAGCGATGGAGATTAACAAAATGAGACATTGAAATGTATTGCTTAACCATCAATTAGATTTAAATATGGTCTGTTCATAGATATAAGAAAGTATTCAATTCAAGTACAATTGTGGTCCGTAGTAGAAAAAATTTTTATACCTACCTGTGTTTAATATTCTATGGTTTGGTATACTACTCAATTTACATTTATTAGTAATCATTCTTATTTTGTGTGTAATACAGCGTGTGTAGAATCGTGTGCGAATTATGGAAAATATGTGCGAGACTAGTGTATTCTATTCTATTCTATTGAGACTAAGGAAGTTATAAACAATGTTTATTTGACTCTCATTGAACGTGGTGCCAGCAAACAAGCATCTTTAGAAGAAACGGCCACATTGACGAAAATTCCAGCATCAACTGTATGGAAAATTGTGAATAAGCCCATTTCAGCGAGGAAAAAAAGAAGCGATGCTGACATTTTCTCGAGTGTAGAGGAAAGTGATCAAGATATAATACGGCATAAAATTTAGCAGTTATACGAGGAACAAAGCGTGCCTACATTAGATATCTTAATTAGGAGGCTTGAAAAAGATGAAACCGGTGTTAAATGTGGCAGAACTACCTTATGGAAGTACATTCAACACATGGGTTTTAGATTTAAAAAAATTGACAAAAGGCAAGTTTTAATGGAAACTTTTAGAATTCGGAAATGGCGACTGGAATATCTAAAAAAAATAGGATTTACAGAGAACAACAAAGGCCAATTATTTACTTGGATGATACCTGGTTCGACACTTATGATACCCCGGAAAAGGGTTGGGTTGACTCAACTGATAAGTGTAAAACAAACGCGCTATCAAAAAGAGGTAAAAGAATAACTACTTTGCATGCTGACTCTAAAGATGGTTGGATTCCAAATGGACTTTCTGTCTGCGAAAAATAATATATAAAATAAATATTAAATGTTCTTCTCTTGAATTCCATGAAGACACCACCGCTGATTTATTTGAAAGTTGGTTTAAAAACAAACTAGTTACAAACATTCCTCCTAATAGCGTAATTGTAATGGACAATGCAAGTTATCACAGTGGACAGTTGACTAAAACCCCTTCGTCATGTAACACAAAAGCAACAATCCAAAACTACATGTATAATAACGACATTTATTTTCACGAAGATTATACCAAAAAGCAATTAATTGACGTTCTACAACGCTTGAACCTACAAAAGGAATACGTCTGTGATAATTATTCAAAAAAATCTAGGGTATAAGTTTTAAGTCTTCCACCTCACCACTGTATATTTAATCCCACTGAACATTTTTGGCACTAACTGAAATCTGCCATTCAAGGTAACAATGTTTTTCCCCGTGTTAAGTCCAATGTCCTCAAACTTATAGAAACCGAAGTTTTTAACATCCCTCCACAAAGTTGGGAAAATTCTGTTAAACATATAGAAAAAGCAGAACAATCGTATATCCACATTGCAAATAATATAGAACAAATAATAATTAGAACAGGCGATGATACCAATAGTGATACTTATATATTATGTGAATAATTTTAAGTAATTTAAGTAGGTAATAAAAATAATTTGTAATTTTATTTTAGATTTAAACATAAATAAATAAATATTGCTTAGTATCTTTCCTAATAAAACTCCAAATAATTAAATTCTAAGGAAAGTACGGACCTGTTTGGCCATATTTCATTCATTCGTATCAGTTAGTCACGTTTTTATACCTATGAGCAGACTTTACCTCTCCTTCATTGAACTTGATTTCTCACAACAACATTAATTAAGGTTTTGTGGTCATTCTTCGGTATATATACTAGCAGGCAGTTTGTAAATATTACATTTGATAAAGACACGGTGTTGTCGAAACAATTGTCATGTAAAAATATATAATTTCGTGAAAATCTTTATTATTATTTGTTAATTATTTTGTTAGATTAGGCCCCTACCGAGACCTCCACAGATGGACAAGGATGTCCGCGTTGATATGCGCGCATACAAAAAAGTGTAATGTGTGAATGCACACTGAAAAAGAATGACGCGAATTGGGAACTGTTGTCGTTGCACAAGTCAATTTTGTACACCACACGCTGCAAGTTTTATTTTTTATTTTGAGCACATTGGTGCAAGCTATTGATGCCAACGCTGTCACACACATCATTAGGCATCCTTCAGGCAATAAGCGGAACTGCAGACTTTGTGCGTGCTTCTGTATGCAGACCTAGCGTACGTTGTTGCATGCAAATTTTTGATTGCGCATATGGCGATAATAATGAACTAATACTGCTGCGGGGGGACCTAAACCCTTTTTTAAATACTAATATGCGGGATATAATTGAGGTTCATGTCGCGTCACCAACATTATTTCCAAATGAACGGGTCTGTCTGGAACCACAAATGGGGGCTTGATCATCAAAAAATAAATATTTCTTATACGGTTGAGATTGAGATTCAAGTCAATACTCTTCAACATCAGTTAGACACAACGTTTTCTTTTAAATAACGAAAGAGACCCCACCTTTTAAGATAAAAATGTTGAATTCAAAATAACGTCAGAAAAATGAGGTTAGAACCAGTTAATAACCAATAAAAATCACCCAACTGGCATTATTTTTCCTGTTTCGCGACGTAACCGGAATGCACAAAGTAAAAAAGTGTTTGGTGCGACCCAACCCGTCAACAGTTCAACGAACGAATTCCCATTAATTTCCCTATTCAAATGCGCCGCATACGTTGCCCCTAACCGTGACCTATATAACCCAGACGTCACGCCGCCGCCGCCTCACTCACGTTTCCAAATACTGGAAGATTCTGTAGACCGGTTTCCGGTACATGAAAAACCCCTCCAGTTTTTCCACCATCATCGTAGGTATCACACCGTCAAACCAACGATTACTACACCGCCGAAACAAACTCCCGATAAATAACCAGAGGGTCGACGCGACGACGACGACGACAGCGAAGACAACCACCCTCGGATCCTATACGTCATTTCTCTTTCGGCGAAGTGAAAGAATGCGCGAAGCTTATAGCCGGACGCGTTCAAAATCGATCGGTATTCGAAGATCGGTTACGCGCGCCTCGTTCGACTGCTAATTGCCCGTTTAAGAACGAATTATTTATTCCAAACGTCGAAGAATACTTCCGGGGGTACAACACACACTCACACGCGGGCGCGTGCACGTAAACACGCATATGGAAACCGCAGTCAACAGATATATTCTGGAAACGTTTAACGGGCGTCCTCGTACACCCAGTCGTTTCGGTGTTGAAGCTTTGCGCCCGCGTATAACGACCGACCGGCATTTTAACATTAACCTTGCTTTTGGGGATTGTCTTGTGCCGGTTAATTTTGTATTTACACAATAAATCATAAGAAACATGTATTAAAGTTATAATTTTGTAAATTTTATAAAAATAAATAAGAACTAAAAGTTCAAATTTTCACGAAATTATATATTTTGACATGACAATTGTTTCGACATCACCATGTCTTTATCAAATGTAATAATTACAAACTACCTACTACTATATATACCGAAAAATGACCATAAAACCTTAATTAATGTTGTTGTGAGAATTTAAGTTCAATAAAGGAGAGGTATTTAAATCTAATTGAAATTTGAATGTCTCATTCCATGGCTTCCAATAAATTTAATTTTCTACTTTTTGTGGCTGTACGTAAAATATCAAAATTGTCGTCAAAAATGTGTTTTTCTGTGTTTAAGTGCGTAGCATAATTAGAACCCAGACTATTGTTTCTAAACGCTCTTTTATGTTCGTTAATGCGTTTCTTGAAGGATCTACCTCTTTAAAAAATTTAAGACAAAAATTTTAAGACAAGATCCGCATTTCAACCTGTAGACACCTGATTTTTGAGATTTTGGACATTTCGTTTTATTGTTTTTCAAATATTTTCCTATTGTGTTGTTAGTTCTGAGACCTATTTTTAAACCACATTTTGACAAATGTTTTGAAACTTTTTCACTAGGTTCTCCTATGTAAGTAATTGTTTTAAATTGTTCGTGTTCTGTATTAGGTTTCGGATAAATATAGTTTACTGTTGTCTGGACTTGTCCAAAATCTCAAAAATCAGGTGTCTACAGGTTGAAATGCGGCTCTTGTCCTAAAATTTATATTGGACAAACAGGTAGATCCTTCAAGAAAAGCATTAACGAACATAAAAGTGCGTTTAGAAACAATAGTCTATATTCTAATTATGCTACACACTTAAACAGAAAAAAACAAATTTTTGACGACAATTTTGATATTTTACATACAGCCACAAAAAGTAGAAAATTAAATTTATTGGAAGCAATGGAAATTAACAAAATGAGACCTTCAAATGTATTGCTTAACGATCAATTAGATTTAAATACCTCTCCTTTATTGAATTTAAATTCTCACAACAACATTAATTAGGCTTTTATGGTCATTTTTCGGTATATATAGTAGAAGGTAGTTTGTAAATATTACATTTGATAAAGACACGGCGTTGTCGAAACAATTGTCATGTCAAAATATATAATTTCGTAAAAATCTGAACTTTTAGTTATTATTTATTTTGATAAATGGATTTTTATCAAGTAGAAGCCACCTCAGTTCAATAAATTATGATATACACACAATTTTAAGACGAAAACGTGTTTTTTTTTGGAATGCCGATTCTTTTGGAAAATACAGGGTTTATTATTACGATCTTCCAATGATATTTGGAACACATAATAAGCGACATGAGCAATTAAAATCATTGCTCACTCTTACTTTATAAGAGATGCGACAAAAATGCAAGAAACGTAACTTACTTGAAATTAATTTTTTACTTAAGATAAAAATATTCAATACGCATCAAATTTTATTTTTCCAACACCCTGTATTTCGAAAAAGAAACTACATTCCAACAAATTTTAAACCACATTTTCGTCTTATATTTGGGAGAGAATTCTCCCTCCTTTTGTCGGACAGGTTAGTTAGTAACACCCTGTATGTACATTATAGTATTAATCTCACCTAACTTCTACATGCAGTTTCTCATGAAAATATTGAAACGTTCCGCTACCAAATTGCAAGAAATAAATTACCAGGTCTCTTTACTGCAAAAGAATATGGGGTATTTAATATCGGCCAGAAAAAGTACACAAGCTCATCAAGAATATTCAAATAAGACTAAAAAAATGGAATCGTTTATTACAAAATTTAAATTTAATTTTAAGGACTCAGTGTTTTGCACCACAGCACTTAAGCCTCATCCCAGGCAGACCGCTCAGTTCTTCATCGCAAGTCTAGACCACATAGACGACTTAGATGCCAATACCAAAGAACAATTTGTTAAAAAAAAACTGCATCTTAACCTAAATTAGCCTAGAATGTACAATAATTGCCCAAAAATTGGTTATAGAGGACGAAAATTAATCAACTTTAAACACTTCAAACGTTCTAAACATCCCCAGTGAAAAAAAAAAAAAAAAAACAAAGCTAATCAACCCCGCACATTTTGTTGCTGATTTGCTGGCTTACATTTTAAAGAAAGTCCCAACCGACGGATTTATTTGGTGGAGATTATTATTGAATCAAATTTATACTTTTTTTTCACTCAAACACCCCAACTGAGCTTGCGCGAAGCTTTGACACAGAAATTATGTAGTGTACAGAAGTGCACGTAGACGCTGGTGCTGCGTATGCGTGTGCGCATCTGCACGAGTCACCCGGATCGTTACGTGTTCCCAACCCTGCTGCCGAACGCGTCGCGCACCCTCCCGAACAACGTTGCCAAGAGGATGATTTATCGCATGATGTCGCGATTTTATGTGGTGCACAGCTTATACGTCCCGGGGGTGCGTAAACATAAAGTTGGGAGTTAAAGGTCTGGTTTCGAAGGTAGAGTACCAAAGTTTAAGTTAAACTCAATATTTTAAAAAATCTTTTGTAGAATTTGTTAAAAATATTTAACGGTTGCTAACTGTAATTATACAAAAAATCCGCCACTGATTTTTTTAAAGCTTCATAATTTTTTTGTATCAAGCGACTTATGGCCAACTTAAAACGTAGCTTGAAATTTTTATTTAAAAAAATTGAAAACCTATTTTTAGCACGTTTTGGCGCATATTTTTTTGTTCAACACATCGTGGTTGTGGAAGACACAGGTTTAAACTCTAAAAAATATAATTACGTACTTATGAATTTCTGATTGCATTTTTGACATTTTGTGAATTATCTATATATTTTACCGCCTGGCAACACTGTTCCCAAACCCCTCGTAATCTGCATCACCTGTTTATTATAGTTAAAAACAAAAATGCAATAAATTTGAAACACCAGCTTACTACCGTTCAATAATTTTGTAGAAACCTCAAACAAGGAAATATAAAGCCTAAAACATAACCTTACGCTTACTTTTTTATTTCACGAATGGTACATATACACCATTTATACTGAAAGGAATGCTCAACATTCTTAAAAATAAGCTGGATTCAACTATAGCTTCGGCCGCACTTTTGTCCAATTTTGTTTTGTTACTAATATTTTAAAAATTGAATTTTTGCCATGGCGCCTACTTAATAATATCCCATTTTCAAAAAATTTAGGCCACTTAAACCAACAATTACCTATCAATATATCAATCTATTTACATTCAGAGTTCAAAAATAGATCAGGTGCTAATAGAACCACTGGCCCGTTTGGACCAGCCCACACAATCTAAACTATTTTGACCACAACCTCACTAGTCAATTCACGCTTCATCAATATACCTTTTAGTTCATTATTTGGCACTCAATTAAAGTTTCCAAGCATAAAAAGCGTCCATAAGTCAATTTGGAGGGCAATTATTTCTCAAGACACACACCTTACGGCCACCAAACCTATATGTTCGTAAAATGTTATATCTATGACTATGTACTTACATTCACCGCACGGATCCGATTTAACACTATTCGAACGATAATGTCCTTAATCGGCACGGATATAAAGAATCGGCTTTAATTAACTGCAAATTTAATTATTTGTTATTAAAAACACTTTTTAAGCGTCACGTTTGTTCCATGACAAATGACATACATGACATAACTTTGGTTGTCGTCTGTCGTTCGATTATGCAATGGAAATGGTCAGTTACATCATCAACATATATCTTAATAATTTTAACTATGCGAAGGGCTAATGGTTAAATAGGATATCTCTGGATTTAATTCTGACTATTGTTCAATACCTTTTACCCCAAACAATGGTGTACGGTTATTCCTTTTATATGCCACATTATTGTTTTCAGATTAATTTTTCAAGATAACCCTGATGCGATTGCTATCGTTTAAAAGGTTTCCAATGAGATATTGTTCGGCGAACAATATACCACTGCCAAGTGCAATGCGGCGAATTCAGACTATCACAGATCTCTAATTCATGTTGGTAGCATAGCAATAATGTTCATCGCAGGGCGTTTCATTTCATTTTGCAAAAATACCAGCCTGCCCGGGTTGAAGTTCATTGTCGACAGAGATCGGCCACTGACGTTAAGGTGGGATTATAAATAAAAATAAAACGAATGAAAAATTTACACTACATCTTTACGAGATGGGATTATTTGCAGATTATTGTGGTCGTTTATGTACGTCGCCCACATTGCCGGGATGTTTGCATTTATCATATCACTCTTCAAGTCCTATAACGAGGATGCGGTTAGTTTTCTCACGGAAACAGCTTACTTGGATTGGAACACGTCGTTTCCCGCCATTACCGTCTGTCAAATATCGGTCGTAGATTTTCCGCCGAGCGAAGAGTAAAACTATGACGTAAACGTATGTAATCAACCTCCAGTCTCGACCGTTTCAGTTATGACTTAGACGAGACCGAGAAAGACAACACGCCCATAGAATTTTTCATTGCCGACGTGTCCTTTTTCTCGGGCACCTGTTACTCGTGTCAATCGCATTGCCCGACATGTTCTAAATTAAATATATCGAATATCGTTCGCAAGGTATGTCGACGCGACTGTGGTTCCAGTTACTGAGCACAAAAAATATCGGGTAGGCATTGAATAAGGCACCGTTTTCAGATAAGGCAACCGTGCGAGAAGTTGCTCCAAAAGTGCATGTGGAACAATGTCGAGTTTGACTGTTGCGAGAAATTCTTGCCTCTCGAAACCGAATATGGAATTTGCTACTCGATTAATTCGTTACACACGCAGTTAAGACAGAAAATGTCTGTGCTTGCGTGCGAATTCTCTAAAGTTTTTTTAGGTCAACCCCCTCATCTGAGATTAATTTGCTGATGAATCGGAAAACGGGTATCGGGAAAATGTCGTTGAAAACTAACGAGGACGTACGAGTAGGTTTAGATAATTTTTCGTTCTAGACTCTCTTGTAATCCGAACTAACCATGTAGCGTTCTAATGTTTTAAATAGCCATTTAAAACCGCGAATCACTTGATCATTTGCGTTTAAGGTCTATTACCATGCTGCGGAAGACGTTCCGTTTATAAATTCCGAACCAAGTCATCGTAAAGACGTCATGGTGGGCGAAGAATACAACATATTGTTTAAAGTAAGCAACCAAAAAAAAAAACTCGGGTTACGAATAAAATCTACGTGCGTGACGCAACGCACAAACGTCACTTTTAGATGAATACTCTATTCTCTTTTATATATCTATGGTCCGTGCTATATAATGAGAAATTTAAAACAGATAACGGAGATTGAAAACGACGAGACTCTAAGAAAATTAACAATTCGCCAGAGGAGATGCAGGTTTCCTTGGGAGAATCCGAAAAACGTAATCGTTCATAAGTTCTATAGCTATTCGACATGCATTGTTCAATGTCACGCGGACAACCAGATTCGTCTGTGCAATTGCACTCACCATTTGATGCCAGTATATAGTAAAAAAATAGGGAAATTCAGCTAACTTCTTCTTTTTACTTAGCATGTTGTAGATAAGGAGAAGTACTGCGACATATTCGGTTTGCGTTGCTTAACCGACAATTTTGGTAAATTTGACACGACAACCAGTTCTGATGATTATCACGTTGTTGATTTTTAGAAACCCTCAACAGAATTAGAGCGCCAGGGTCAGACAGCAAACCTGGGTTAACATGCGATTGTTTGCCTTCGTGCACGGAACCGGAGTTAAAAATTATTTCCGAAACCAAAGAGTATTTCTTGCGTGAGCGTTACTTTCCATATAATTTGCTTTGAAAATTTTAAGGGTTGGTTTTACCAACGGCGGTATTAATATCAAGATGCAATCTCTGCCTACGTCTAGGTTTAAACGAGTGGTGGTAAGAAGTCCCCTGGAACTAGTAGGTATAATTGCAAATTCTTGATCTATCGTACCATCTTATTTCAAAACTCTGCAAATTTTAGTTTCGATTGGGGGAGCAGCAGGTCTGTTCATGGGAGCGTCTATATTAAGTGTAGTCGAAATCTTATATTTATTATTTGTAAAAAATCGAACCTAAATTTTTTTGTATGATTTAGTAGGTGGTGGACGAGTGACCTATACAATTCTATTTCAAAAATATTGTAATTGGATTTCTTTCATGTACCTAGAAGAAGTACGACCTGTTAACCTTAAATATACTATTTCTATTTAAATAGGAAAAAAAGATAGTCTGGTTATTTTTACAAAGCGCCTTGTAATGGTTGTAAGCAACCTAACGTTAGTAAAAATCGCGTCGATTACTGGCATGGCCACGGCGACAATGGGTTATTTATTAAGATCGAAACTGAACGACAAAATTAAAAATGCTGTTTTTTATAAAGAAGCCTTGAAAACCGTGCGATCGCATTCGGCTGCGGTGTATCTTTTAGGCGAGCCTATTAAAGATAAATCAATTGATGTCGGAAATCGAAATAAAAATTTTTTCGAAGATAACGTCGCCCAATTGGAAGTGCCCTTGAAAGGGTCCAAACAAAATGGAACTTTGTTTTTGTGGGCAAAGAAAGAGGAAAACGATTGGTTGCTCACGCGAATAGAGTTAGAGGTAGAGAATTTGAAAAATAAACGATTAATAATTAAAAAGAGCGAGAATTAATACATTAAAGAGAAATTTTAGTTACATCTGTGCTGTGTATGTACAGGTATGTTGTGAAAAAGCAATTGTCCATATATTGCATACAATTTAACACAAAATTAAATTAAATTTGAAAAAAACTATAAACTCTAATTATTTTATTATTTTGAATAATCAATCATATATTTACATACTCATTTTTTGGTAAAACTTAAGATTAAAACATTTACTACCATTTATATGTTGTCATTTCACCAATCAGTATGTGCTATGTATCCGAAGTATCCAAATGTTTTGTGTTTGAAATAATCATTTAACAGCAACTCAAGTCTTGTAACAGCCCCTCCTGTGCATTTTGCTTCTCTGCATAGAGGCAAAAATACTTCATAAATTATTCGGAGAATTTTCTGAAATAGTTGACCTAAAACCAAAACAATGAACACATAAAAAATTAAAAGAACTTTGAAACATCATAACAATAATACCACATACCATACTTTTCATTCATTTCATACCCTATTGTTTCAAGGAAAACATGCAAAGCTGTGGCAGTTATATCCATCCTGGGTTTAAGTTTTAATAAACACGCCAACCATCTCCAACCATTTCTGAGATTGTGGGGTGAAGAACTCTGCCCTCGTTTAGGTTTTGCTACTAGAATTGCCGAATACAACCTAACAATGCCCGTCATTCGTTTCAGAAACTTGTCCTGCTTCTCAATTTGACCATCAGTGTACTGATACCCCAATTTTATATAATACTCTTCGTCTGTCTCGTCAATTTGTTTTGGTATGTAGTAAGGCACCAAGTATGGGCATGATTTGTAAAAATAGGCAAGCAAAAGCTTGCCGAAATCTGGAAAGTCGTTCCACAAAGTCACTATCATGGAAGCATAGCAGAATGCCGATCTGTGATTGCTAGACACTATGAGGTCCCCTTGTAGAACAAACTTTTTAGCCAACAAGTTTTTGCAGAACGCTACTCCCTGAGGATGTTGCGATGCATTTACTTGTCTATCGCTGACGATTACATTTTGTCCGGATAAGAGGCCATGTAGTTTTTGGTACTTGTCAAGGATATGATGAGAATTTGCTCCTGAAAGGGCGTTAACAGGTATATTTACAGCTTTTTTACAATCAAACCTGAACTGTTTCATTGATGCATCCTGTTCTAGTTGTTGAATTGAATCAGTGTAGGCCTTCAAGTAATCCATTAGTTCAGTGTACATCTGCAAGTTGCCCAAGTTCACATATTCAGTTATCTTTAAATTATTAACATCTGTTTCTTCTATTTCTTCGTCCAATACCCGATTGCTAGCATTTTCCGACATTTTTGCAGTTTCTTTGGCTAATTGTTTCTGTTTCTCGGCTTCTTCTTTTACCTGTTCTGCTTTGTTAACAATTTCCTGATTGGCTCTATTCAAACGGTTTTTTAAATTGACAATTCTATTTAAAATATCAGCAGATTTTGCCACTTCCCGCTCTGAAACAGAACCTGCTTTACAGCTACTTATAAGCGCTTCCATCTCGCCTGGAATTGACTGAACCAAACTCAACTCTTCACCCACAATGTTTCTCAATTGATCCTTGTCTGGGCAGTATTTTAGCATGTCCCCAATTTGTTCATATTCAACTCTAAATTGGGTTTGGTTCCTCTTAAGCCTTTCTATGTTCTCCTTCAATATCCGGCGGTGCCTTTCCTTCTCTTGGAGCTCTGCTTGCTTCTGCTTCATTCTCAGTGCCGCATCCTGATAGTGTTGCACCAATTTGGCATGCTCTGATGAATTTTGTAAGTCGTATTGCTCGTTTGCTTGCATAATCGCAATTTCCTGTTTGGCCATGTCTTCTATGAAGCCCTGCTGAGTCTTCATCCACGTTTCTTTCCTTTGTTTTTGCTGTGTTTTGCTGAACTCATCAAACAAAGTCAATCTTTCATTTAAAGCCTTACTAACATCATCTTGGCGTTTCAAGTCAAAAACTTGAAGTAATTGGCGAAACGGCAGTTGATTCTCGTCTGCCCCTTCTTCATGTTTTGGTTGTTTTTTTACGGGGGTTGGTTTATTTCTGGGGTTATACCGCGTAGAAGTTGTAGAATTAACCGTCTGTTTCCTTAATTTTTGTAATTTACTGAAGGCTGAATATTTTATTAGCTCCTCAGAATCCTTGTCCATGTTCCGTATAGCTCTATAAACTTAAAAATGCTAACCGAAAAATGTCGCATAAACATAACCACAAACAATACACAATTAAAACAAATTTTTTTCTTTCCTCTTTCGGGAAAATTTATGACAATCACTCGGCCATCACTGAATTGCGTATTTTTAAATCAACGATTTTGTTTGCAATTTCTGCTAAAATTCCATGTTTCATGTGTTTCAAATAAATAAGTTTACCATTTCCAATTCTCTTGTTACTTTCGAAAAATCGATGAAATACAATTTTTCGAAAGCATACGCGCTTGTTAACGAAATTTATATCTCGGCATCGGTAGGTCCTAGGAGACCGCCATTGGTACAGAAGTGATCAGCGTCGAAAAAAAAACTTTTTTTTCTGTTCTCCGTTTCTCTGTAGACCTGGCATTAATTGGCGATATCTTTTGAACGGTTTGCAGCCCGACCTTCAAATTTGGCTCCTCTTAAGCCGTGCTCGAGGTACACAAACCAGTAAAAAATGGGTCTGATCAAACCAAGGCGTCCATCTTTTTTTTTCGATTTTCGTCTGTTTTGTGGACTTCGCTATGAAACACGATAAGTGTCCGAAATTTGAAGCCATCCACTTGAAATTTGACACATATATAGAGTTTAGCTCCGTAACGAAGCCTATTGAAACTGGGGGGGCTGCGGAGTCGAGAAGTATTTTTAAAAAATTAAAAACCGCATTTGCAGGGTATCGAGAAAAAAAAATTTCTCCAAGACGGTATATACTACCGAAAAAATTCTTTAACCAAACGACGCGCAACATCCGGATCAAAAACCTTTTTCTTGATGATTTTTTAAAAATGTACAGGGTGCGTCGGTAATTTGCAAAAAACTGAAAATTGGTCTCCCTTTGTAATGATAATTGATCATAACAAGGAAGGCTGTGATTCTGTTGCCAGTTTTTTTTACATCGCTATATAGCCCGCATGGACAGCTAAAACTTTTATATTTAGCGTTTTCACATACTGTACAGGGTGATCGGGATATTCCGTACTATATTCAATAACGTCATAAGTGACTCAAATATGTAACTATCGATTTTAAATTTGGCAAGGAAGTAAAAGTCCATACTCACATCTAAGCAGTAGAATTTGAACGTAATCAAGTATCACCAAATATTTTTTTTAAAATTTTCTTTGAATATTTTCACTTCTAGAAAAACATGATTTTCTCAAAAACTATTCAATGGATCAAAAAAATTGTATAACCAGAAAATGCGGGAGATCGGAGGCTATGACGCTCAACAACGATTTTTCGAAAGCAATCTTGTTACTTTCGAAAATCGATGAAATAGAATTTTATATCTCGGTAACGGTAAGTCCTACGGGATCGTCGTTGGTACAGAAATGATCACCGTCGAAAAAAAATTTTTTTTTGTCTTTCCGTTCTCCGTTTTCGTCTTTTGGTTTTTCCTGAATAACTTTCGAACCGTTGGAGCTACAAAATTGATATTTGACTCCTTTTTAACCCTCCACGAGGCACATAAGCTTATAAAAAATGGCCCTGCTCCGACGCCGGTATCCATTTTTTTTTTCGCGATTTTCGACTATTTTTTGGACTTTGCTATGAAACACGATAAGTGTCCGAAATTTGAAGCAATCGACTTCACATTTGGCACATCTATGCAGCTTTGTCCCGTCTGTGTTTTAGATGTCAGTTAGACAGTTTAAACTTTTGTTCCAGGATACCAGGAAACTGAGGAGATCCAGGGCTATATCCTCTATTTCGAACATTGTTGGAATTATATACAGGGTACGTCGTTTGTGGGCAAAAAATTCTAATAGATCCTAGAAATTTCCGCTATTGTGGGTGAATTATTGGCGATACATGAAAAACTTTTAAATATGTGATAATTCGATATGAACAGTATCGTAAATTGTGTCGAGAGAGAGTTTAAGGTTTCGTCTATAATACAGGGGACGCAAGACGAGATGTGAAGGACACTTCATACAGGGTGTATTCACAATCAAATTACATCGATTATGCGAAAGTTGCGGACCACTATAGAAAAATGCGTCCCTCTAGGACAAGAATCCGCGAAGCGCCTTCTTTTAAAATAAAAAGCTGATTCGTGCTATTTGCAAAGAACCCCGCTCACCGACGATTTTTCGAAAGCAATCTTGTTTAAACTTATATAGAATATAGATAGGTATAAATTACACAATATATACAATATATATAAATAAAAGAAATATAAAGTTCCACAGAAAATAATTATCGCTACACTTCTGGGCTCTTGAGTTTCATATGTATTAAAGCATCATTTAACACGCACAGTTGGTGTAAATTATTAGATTAAATAAGTCAAAATTGAATTATGCTATTTATATCTCAAAATTTGCAATTCCAATATATATAGATTATAAACTTTACGCCGTCTCAAGTATTATAATATTAAAATATTTTATTGTTTTTTGCCACTCATTGAATGCTTGAAAAGCAAAGGTAAGTATTTAAAATTTGCAATAGAGTAATTAAGAAAAGCAAGATTTAATGCATAATTAGTTCCGAGGTAATATTTAAAATTCACTCTGCGATCAAATAGATCTCCTAGAATTTCGACGGTCCTTGGGAGCCGATTATCACTAGTACAAAACCGTTTATCTTAACATTTTAAAGTAATCTTTCGACACACTCTAATAATAGAAGATAAGGAACAATGTTTCATTTAGCATACTTGCAGTTTCGTGAAAGCGTGGCGCAGTATTAATTCAGTGACATTTTTTACGTGCTTAATCGTTTTCGTGGTATTCGGGCGGGTAAAATCCGGTGGTGCGATCTCGGTGAAAATATCCTGCTCTTCGATTGCGCCTGGTATGACAATTGCCGACGGCCTTGAATTCGAGGAACATGGCGAGCGTTCAGCCCCCTGCGACCGACACCTCCATAGACGTACAGCACATCTACAGACCCAGGAGCACCAGCTGGGGCGCCGCGAACTCGTCGCGAAGGAGACGAACTTCCTCCGTGGTTGCGATTGCCCAAGGAAGAAACAGACGCATTAGTTGCATGCCCATCGTAAGTAGCTAGCTTAGACACGACGTCATTTCGTTACCGTTCATTTGTTGCGATCTTTTTTTATTGACGTGTTTTGGCTTATTTTATTTGCCTGACTACTCCCGGAAACTGCAAATTTGAAAATTATTTGCTTTTTTATGTGGTATTGCCTACCATCAAACTATTAGTTTTTTATCGTTAATTTGAATGCGTTACCTTAGTAAATTTTGATAATTTTCATAATAGGTGTTTCTTTTCCATTTTCCAATAAGGGTACGGATATCGTCGCACCCAATTGCGGAACGCGCCGTGTGGCCACAGTTAAACCATGAATATTGTGCTCGGCTGTGGTCTGGGGTCGCGACCGTCTGTTTTTAATACATGGTAGTTCAAATGCTCTTCCGCCCTTGACGCGAGTGGCTGTCAAGCGTGACAGCTGACCGTGAACGGCTAATTGCCATGTCAATTCGTGTTATAATTTGTTAAATAGGCGTTCCGCGCGGCGCTGTCCAATGTCCATTTAGCGCGGTGCCCCCGCAAGCAGAATTAATGGCATCGGAACATGTTTTCGGTTACATTCCTCAAATTGGGACCGATGGCTACGTAAGTGATGTGTCGCGTATTTTCCGTCGACAATTCGAATAATTTTCCATTCACGACCTTTTCGTTGTGTAAACAAGACTTTCGAATGTTTTTGGAGTTGCGTTAAACCAAAGTGTTCTAGAGTAGTAGATAATAAATAATTTAGCCAAAACCGGATCAATTTCTTTAAAGATTCATGGAAAAAATAATTAATTATTTAAATCTATAAAATTGTCCCTTCTCTCGACTGTCACGGGTTTTTCAATTTTGCAGAGTGAAGAACCGACTAGTAAACTTCATCTCAAGGTGATTCGCGGCAAAAGTCTTATGAAGAAAGACATTTTTGGTGCAAGGTTTGTAGGCTAAAACCCCTCCCTTTGAAATTTTAACGAAATTTTGCAATTTCAGCGATCCCTATGTTAAAATTGACTTAATCTCAGCTAGTGACAATAGTATTATTGACTCCGTACTTACAAGGACTAAAAAGAAGGTACCTATTTTTCAGTAATCGCGAAAAAGTGTTTTCTTTCATGTAGTTTTTGGATTTCAGACGCTTAATCCTGAATGGAATGAAGATTTTATATTTAGAGTAAGTCACAATGGCAGTTTTTCTTCTCTTTTTAAGTCGATGATTCGTGTTAGGTGAAGCCCGCCGATCACAAACTCATTTTGCAAGTTTTTGATGAAAATCGGCTGACACGTGACGATTTCCTCGGTATGGTCGAATTGTCTTTGACCAATCTTCCAAAAGAGCAAGAGGGTCGAGTAATTCCGTCTGTGAAATACCTGCTCCGTCCCAGAAGGTAAGGCTGTGTCATTTTAATACTGAGTGCATGTTGTTTAAGTTAAGGACCCTGTTGCATTTCATTTGCTTCCTTGAGTAGTGACCTAGAATTTATTTTGCATTGTTGCCATGCCTGTGATGGCCAGTCATTCAATTTGAAATAAATTTTCTAGAGAACTAAGAACTTTAAACATAAAAAAATTCTTTCCTTATTAATGGATGACAAGAATGGTAGTTCAAATGAATCAAAATTTTTTATTTGGCAAACACATGTGAAACTAACAACATTAATAATTTGGAATAGGTAATAATAACTATAATAATAATACAATTGTTTTACATATAACTATTATTTGATTTTTACTATGAATCTTAAACATAATACAAATGCACCATTATTTCAGTTCAGTTTGTATATTGGAAACTGAAAAATGCTACTTTTAATTTATTTTCTGAGCTTCATAACCCTAATTTAAAAAAAAATGCTGTTCTTTTTTTGAAAATATATATTTATGTACAACTAAGGTACCAACTATAAAAGAAAGATTACGTCTATGGCTAACATGTTGGTATTTACTCTGTATAATTACTAGAGCCCTGCCTAATGCTGATATTACAGGAAATTTTGAAATCACCATAAAAATAAAAATGTTAAGGGCCATTCGATATGCGCAGTTGAGGTGATTTCAAATCTCGTTTTCAACTAATAAGACCTGTCATTTTAAATGAACCAATAACACCTTTCTACATTCAACAGTTAACATGGCCAAGGACAGTTGATTAATTTGACAATTTCTGTTTGGATGTGTCATTTTTTTTATAGTAGGTTGTCAAAATATGCTCAGATTGCATTAAATGTTCAGGAATTTAGGTGCGTGCGTTTATAAAGAAATTTGCTCAAAGTTTACGAAAATGTCATAGCTTTCTGAGGCGCATCGGTTTTACAGTATTAACAGCCCTTATATAATCTAATTTGCGCGTTTTCGATGACTGTACTGGGCGCCCGAATTATTTGAAGACAGCCTATAAAATTTTAATTTAAAGACCCAAATGTTGTCATAGGTCGGTCACCTATTTGAAAACTTTGAAATGCGTCATGCATTTTACAACGCTGTCGTTGAATATTAACTTTTGTATTTTCATTTTCTTTCTCTCCTTTTTATCTTTGCTGCATGTGCTTCACCGTTAACCCGGGGGAACCCATTGCATGTGCCGCCCTCGCCCCATATTTGACGCGTGCGCAACATATAGCGATTTCAGCGCCAGGTCGAGAGTGCGCGGCCACCTCGAGCTCTATCACGCTTATCTGTACGATCCAGGGGCGGCGCCGATCGCGGCCCCCGAGGAAGCGCCCCTAAACCCCAATGAGTGGGAGATTGTCGGCGAAGGCAGGGAGGAGACCTCCGCACAGGTATTATTTTTTTGTCTTTGCTGATTATAATTTTTTTAGATTTGTTCGCCATTTTATGACAAGCTGTTTGAAAGGAAAAGTCATTTGTCAGAATTAAAACAAAAAAAACGCTGGGATGCAATATTCAATATTTTAAAAAATAAAATAAGATAATAATAAAGATAACTGAGATCTCACATCAAAAGCGTCGAAAATACCCCGTATATATTAAAATTTTTACTTAAGTAATTAAGAGTAACCAAAACTGATATGCTTTGATCTAAATGGTGCTTAAATGTAGGCATGCCCCCCGCACTGTCAAATAGCCTATTAAGTGCGGCGAGTGTCGCCTAATTTTTTCTGCTCTGTGACATGGTGGAACGTTTTTAGCCTGTGCTGGTGAACGCGACGACGGAGGCTCAAACTCCGCTGCCTCCCGGTTGGGAAGAGAGGCAAGATGCAAATGGCAGGACATACTATGTCAACCACATAGCCAGGACAACGCAATGGGAAAGGCCGACGCTGGCGTGAGTTGCTCTTTCAACCAAAAAAAATCTAAGATATTATTAATTTCTGATACACCATCTCGACACCTAGAAATCCTGTCGATTTTTGTTCAACTTCGACACATGAGTATCACCATATTAGAAACAGATCTGCCTTACAAAATATAGATTTAATATTGCTAGAATGCTGGTAGAGTGAAAAACCCCTGTCGAAGAAAAAGGGAAAGTAATGGAGAAATGGATGATATGCGCATGCATGAAACTATATATAATAAAACTGTTGCCAAATAAAGGAAAAACAGTTACTCAAATAAGTCAACACAGACTTATTTGAGTAACTGTCTAAATCGGAAATAATATTTTGATGTACTGTGTATGTGTAAATCTAAAAGATTTTCGGTTAGTTTATTTTGGTTGCCAGTTTCTATACTTATAACCTAGACAATTGCCAACATTGCTGTCAGCTAAAAGTTATGCACCTTGGCCATTTATGTTTTATATTTTGTTTCTTTCTAACACATGAACATTCTGTCTCTCTTTCTTCGTGAGTCAATCGAGTTGTGTACTCTACTCTTCCAGCCTTCTAGAAAATAATACATTTGCACAGATTTTTCATCAACCTCTTTACGAATAAGTGTGAAAGTCCACATAGTGCACAGAACTCTCCCCATGTACAGGGTGGCCCATTTTTTATGGGATGATACCTTTTCTTAGAATCTGTTGGATCCATTTGTACTTTTAAAATATTGTTATATATTGTGTTTATATTTTCTTGGAAACGTAACAAATTTCTCATTGTAAATAGACTACCCTGTATATTATATATTTTATTAATTATTGGGAAAATTCGAGATATATTTTCCTATATAATATTCCTATCTTATATAATGTCTTATCGTTTCTGACATATTTTGAACTTTATGTCAATAGTGAAAGCCCTTATATATTTGGGGTGGATATTTTAAAAATAAATAAAATACTATCAAAAATTGAAATGGAATAATCGTTGTCATTTTTTTCTAATGAAAATGGAAATATTCCATTGTTATTATTTTCTAGTAGTGTGTATTTAAAAAAGGGTGACTTCATACTAAGCTACCTATTTCTAGAAGTTGTAGATTTAGGAATATTAGCGACAGTTTCGTCATTGTAAGTAGTATTACAAAAATTTCACTATTTTGAATTGTCCTAGGTTTGGAAATTAATATTTTTGCCACCTAACTTGTTTGTTTTGTTTTATTTTTATGACTATTTTTATACTAAAAAAATTACCTCAAGCCTATAAAATTTGTTTCTAGAAGAAAAAATAAGTAATTAAGAAAATGCTAATAGTAAATAAAGCAAACTGAAAAGAGTTTATTATTTATATGATCTGGAAAAAATGAAATCAAATGTTTATTTTTTATTTTATATCACAGTCCTGAAATTTTTAAAATTTTCTATTATTCGTTTAGAACAGTTTTCTTTGTGGATAATAATATATTTTTTTGTATTAATTACTTAATTACTAGGCGTTGTTTAGAAGATTTATAATAAATTGTCGAATGACAGCAAATAGTAAGTGCTATTTCTTTAGTGCTCGGTTGTTTTTTTTTCTGCCATGTTTCACCATTATCTTCCTGACAAATTAACTGCCGTTTAGCATTTTTGCATTTATCGTTTTGGTGTTATTTTTAATATTTGGACTAGGGAATACAGTCACCACTTTTTTAAATGCCAAATATGTTTAAATTATTAAAATGCGGTATTTCCATTTAAAAAATTGACTTAACGATATTTTCTTTGATTTTATTTTATTTATTATATATTTTTAAAATATCTTCACATCACACTAATGTAGATCCTGTATATAAGGAAATCAATCGATCATATAGCTATTAGGTGATATAGTGGCCCTAGTACGGTAAAAATTGATGCGCCGCTTTACGCTCACTAACCTGCACCATTTTCTTTCTAAAGAGCGATTTCCACACACTTAGTTTGCTTTCCCAGAACGTTTAAGGAGGTCTCAGATTATATTGAGAAAATCCATCCATACTTATTGAAGACCTGGCAGCGGCCATTTTGGTGGTTAAATGCCGCAAGGTCTTACATCTCGCGTATGCACAATTCTTTTTCATCATGATTTAATAAGTGCCTGTATATGTCTACTAGCTGTATGCCAAATACATAACAAAGGTTTCCAGTCGGGGGGGGGGGGGGGTTATCGATAAATATATTTATATATATATATATATATATATATATATATATATATATATATATATATATATATATATATTCTCATGTATTGATTCACGGATGGAAAAATGTGATGACACTATATTCCGGGATATCATCCGTTCGCTCGTTGAACTCCGACTGGAATCCTGCATCCGACATTCGAACACTGGAGCGCGAGCGCGAGCATTGAAGATGCCAAGTGAGATTTTGGCGAAACGTCTGCAGTATTCCAGTCGGATGCAGGATTTGCAGGATTCCAGTCGGATGCAGGATTCCAGTCGGAGTTCAACGAGCGAACGGATGATATCCCGGAATATAGTGTCATCACATTTTTCCATCCGTGAATCAATACGTGAGAATATATATATATATATATATATATATATATATATATATATATATATATATATATATATATATATATAATAATAATAAACAGCACTTGAGTTCTTACCGTTTCTGATATAGTTTAAATTTTATGTCAAAAGTGACGTTTGCAGGACTAAATATATTTATCGATAACCCCCCCCCCCCCCCGACTGGAAACCTTTGTTATGTATTTGGCATACAGCTAGTAGACATATACAGGCACTTATTAAATAATGATGAAAAAGAATTGTGCATACGCGAGATGTAAGACCTTGCGGCATTTAACCACCAAAATGGCCGCTGCCAGGTCTTCAATAAGTATGGATGGATTTTCTCAATATAATCCGAGACCTGCTTAAACGTTCTGGGAAAGCAAACTAAGTGTGTGGAAATCGCTCTTTAGAAAGAAAATGGTGCAGGTTAGTGAGCGTAAAGCGGCGCATCAATTTTTACCGTACTAGGGCCACTATATCACCTAATAGCTATATGATCGATTGATTTCCTTATATACAGGATCTACATTAGTGTGATGTGAAGATATTTTAAAAATATATAATAAATAAAATAAAATCAAAGAAAATATCGTTAAGTCAATTTTTTAAATGGAAATACCGCATTTTAATAATTTAAACATATTTGGCATTTAAAAAAGTGGTGACTGTATTCCCTAGTCCAAATATTAAAAATAACACCAAAACGATAAATGCAAAAATGCTAAACGGCAGTTAATTTGTCAGGAAGATAATGGTGAAACATGGCAGAAAAAAAAAACAACCGAGCACTAAAGAAATAGCACTTACTATTTGCTGTCATTCGACAATTTATTATAAATCTTCTAAACAACGCCTAGTAATTAAGTAATTAATACAAAAAAATATATTATTATCCACAAAGAAAACTGTTCTAAACGAATAATAGAAAATTTTAAAAATTTCAGGACTGTGATATAAAATAAAAAATAAACATTTGATTTCATTTTTTCCAGATCATATAAATAATAAACTCTTTTCAGTTTGCTTTATTTACTATTAGCATTTTCTTAATTACTTATTTTTTCTTCTAGAAACAAATTTTATAGGCTTGAGGTAATTTTTTTAGTATAAAAATAGTCATAAAAATAAAACAAAACAAACAAGTTAGGTGGCAAAAATATTAATTTCCAAACCTAGGACAATTCAAAATAGTGAAATTTTTGTAATACTACTTACAATGACGAAACTGTCGCTAATATTCCTAAATCTACAACTTTTAGAAATAGGTAGCTTAGTATGAAGTCACCCTTTTTTAAATACACACTACTAGAAAATTATAACAATGGAATATTTCCATTTTCATTAGAAAAAAATGACAACGATTATTCCATTTCAATTTTTGATAGTATTTTATTTATTTTTAAAATATCCACCCCAAATATATAAGGGCTTTCACTATTGACATAAAGTTCAAAATATGTCAGAAACGATAAGACATTATATAAGATAGGAATATTATATAGGAAAATATATCTCGAATTTTCCCAATAATTAATAAAATATATAATATACAGGGTAGTCTATTTACAATGAGAAATTTGTTACGTTTCCAAGAAAATATAAACACAATATATAACAATATTTTAAAAGTACAAATGGATCCAACAGATTCTAAGAAAAGGTATCATCCCATAAAAAATGGGCCACCCTGTACATGGGGAGAGTTCTGTGCACTATGTGGACTTTCACACTTATTCGTAAAGAGGTTGATGAAAAATCTGTGCAAATGTATTATTTTCTAGAAGGCTGGAAGAGTAGAGTACACAACTCGATTGACTCACGAAGAAAGAGAGACAGAATGTTCATGTGTTAGACTGGAATCCTGCATCCGACTGGAATCCTGCAAATCCTGCATCCGACTGGAATACTGCAGACGTTTCGCCAAAATCTCACTTGGCATCTTCAATGCTCGCGCTCGCGCTCCAGTGTTCGAAGTGTTTTCGGAGCGCGAGCATTGAAGATGCCAAGTGAGATTTTAGCGAAACGTCTGCAGGATTCCAGTCGGATGCAGGATTTGCAGGATTCCAGTCGGAGTTCAACGAGCGAACGGATGATATCCCGGAATATAGTGTCATCATATATATATATATATATATATATATATATATATATATATATATATATATATATATATATATGATGACACTATATTCCGGGATATCATCCGTTCGCTCGTTGAACTCCGACTGGAATCCTGCATATATATATATATATATATATATATATATATATATATATATATATATATATATATATATATATATATATATATATATATATATATATGATGAAAAAAAGTTTCGAAAAATTCAAAAAATTTTAATGTACAGGGTATAGGTTAAAATAAAATACATGCAGATGCGAAGCAATATCTTAACAGTATAAATGAATGGAACCAACTTTTATCTTACAGATTCTGAGATAATGTATAATCCTATAATAAAGGAGGGAAGGAAATTCATTGTTGTTCTTAATTTTCACTGTGGTTTTTTTTCTTACCTAGCGTTTTGGGCTTTTCAGAAGCGGCAGTCCAGAAAGCGAGGCCGTCACTCGCGGCGAGGACAGGGAAGTGTTCGAAAGGAGGTACCACATAAGCGTCGAAGAGCAGAACAGCGAGAGAGGCGACAACTCTAACAATCAGGTTAGGGGCGTTTCCTTTTTTACTCAGACCATAGCTCAATGCTGATGCGAAGCTCGACAGAAACGATGAAATTTTTTACAATAATTTTATTCAATAGTTTTTTTTTTTAATGGTGACTTCTTGCACTTCATTCCAAAAGTTGGACATTTTGATGCTGGTAGAGGAAGACACATTTTTTTACAAGAACATTGTATAGTAATGAGAGAAAAAGTAGTAGTATATTTGGTGAGTAACTTCATCACTATTTCGTTAGATTTAACTAATAAAAATAACAAGTGCAAAAATCCAGGGTTTGGTGTGAGTGAATCTCTTGATTTAACACTCAAATTTCAATGGTTCAGTTTTTTTGGGATTTGTATATTGTGTGTATGAGTGCATATGACCGTTTAATTCATGGCACTCTCGAAATTGATTTGCGAAGGCAGACCAATCTGATTTGAACAAGACAATTTAGCGATATAGCAGTTACTTATTAGTTTACTGAAGGAAATATGTTATTAATTGTTATAGACCGATTGGCAATAACTATTTCATAAATTTATAATTGAATTTTTAAATTTTTGGGTGTTAATTTAAAAGATATGCCAACAGTGCGGCGCCGAAAGAATCTGTTGTCAGTCTGTTGATTTCGAGATCCACTCGTTTAATTATCTGACGTCAATTCTATAATACCCTGTATATATGGAGATGTTTTACAAGATCGCCGAATTCAAAGGCGACCGTGCTTTCGCATCGGCATTCGGGAAATCTATGGCCGCCCACAAAATCCATCTTCATTTGACACGCAAAAGCGACAAACTCCCTCCTTTGTTGACGTAATCAAAGCCGGGCGAGCGGGCAGGGGAAGCGGGAACCGACAATGCGCTCGAACGCGCCGCCACCGGGGCGTCGCTATCGGCACCGCCTCCGTCGGTCCACAGAATATCGACGGACTCGTGCGTTAGCGACTTCGAAACGAACCGACAAAGCACCACCGATTCGGACTACGATGGGTCTGCCGAGAGCCAAGCGAGCAGTAGGCGGAGCTCGATCGTAGATGGCGCCATCCGCGAGCGTGTCGACACGGTAAACAAAAGCCTCAGCGCGGATACGCGATGGCAGTATACAAAACTGCAATTGTTTTAAAAAGTATACGGTGTTCAATGATTTTACGCGTTTTGATAAGACGAAAAGTTCATGTAAAACAAAATCGATTTTTAATAAATATCGTAATAATCTTCTAGGCGATTTTATGTTTGTATATATATTATATTTGTATGTATATTTTATATTAAGTTAAATTGTTAATTCCAGCGGAGCCCCGGAAGACAATCGACAAAAAAATGTGCGCCACTGACTTATATCCAGTTTTGCTAATAGAAAAAAATTGTATTCTTTGATGGTTAATCCAGACGAGGTATGGAAAAAATCAGTGACACAAATTTTTTTCGTACTTAAATTTAATACCCTGAAAAGCAAGTAAAGAGTTTCTGGATCACGTATATTTATATAAACTTTTTGTCTTAAGATTTCGCAATATGCATACTTTCATATGTGGAAATTAAGAAAATAAAATATCTTTAGATCCCATTTACACAAAACAAACGCCATTTGGAACGGAAAGTGGCGGGTTTTTAAGCAAATTAACGGGGTGGATATGTATTAGGACACCATTATTTTAGTGTTTATAGAGAGTGAACTTCAGTATTTAAGGGGCTGATTTTTGGGTTTATTTTAATAAATAAACGTATTTTTTATCTTAATTTTGGCGTTTGATCTTCAGCGGGATCACGAGTTATACTGCCAGCGATGATCCAAAAACCGCTTATGTTTTCCTGTGTCGTACGCTGATATTTATGTCACGGGGTGTCGGGTAGTGTATTCTCGAATTTCCTAGATGATAATTTCGTTTCTTAATTCTTTAGATCCGCGAAGAAAACGTAAGCGATTAAATATCAGGGGACATTTAGAATTTAGACAAAATTCGTATACGGAATTCTGCAATTTATTTATTGAAAATCAAACGGTGGAACGTCACCACGCGACATTCGGGAACACCCGCTACCCCACCCTCTAAACTATTTGCTCGAGAGAGATCATTTTCCTTTTTTTAAAACTCTTCTTCGAATCTGTTTTCGTGTTGCGATACTATCCCGAGGTTTCCGTTTTTACATGCCCCTTTGTATGACGTTTCGCAGAGTTTCGACAACGTGGACAGCAATGAGTCATCGCGACGTGATTCGACTGCGTCGACGAACAACGCGAGTGATGGCGCATCGCAGAACGACCTCAGCGTCATCGGGGAGGACCTGCCACCCGGCTGGAGCGTGCAAAAGTAAAATCGCGTTATCAAATGTTTTTTCGCACAGCATAATTGACCTTTTTCGTTGTTTGTTTTATTTTTAAATTGACACGACTAATTCGATTTATAAGAAATACCATTTAGTACTTCCATGCCAAGCCGAGAAGGCTCATGGCTTGGTTACACATTTGTCTCCATTTGATTTTATTCTTCAATAAAGCCTGCCAATGCTGCACTTTCATTTCCTTCAGGTCATTTTGCAGAGCTCGATTCAATTTTGGCCGCCGCCTACCTCTACTCTACCCTGCTTAAGAGGAGGTACATCTCCCAGTCTTGCTACATTTCCCAACCACCTTAATCTTTGAGATTTTGCACCGTTTGTTATGAATGGTGGTCCATAGAGCTCTTTAAGTTCCATATTAGTCCTTCATATCCACTGATCCTCTCCTTTCTTTCCACCAAATATTCTTCTCAATACTTTCCTTTCAAATATTTTTAATGATTCCGTTAATCATCGTTTTGTAAACCCTTTTTTTTCAAATGTACCGCGCGTTTAATTTATCTTGATAACATTGACTGGAACGTTTTTGTTTTGAAAGATATCAGGATAAATAACAATGAAAATATAGGGTCAGCAGTCAAGTTTTTTCCTAAATAAATTCTAAAAGAAAACACTAACAATTTGCTGAGATCTCGGCGTATTTGATATATGTTGAAATGAAACACTCAGTATATTTTATCGCTATTAAAAAAAAAACGCCTTACTCTGATTGGAATTGTATAACAGGCTTTTTATTTTATTCCACTTATTTTGGAAATATCGAAAAAAATAGGAGAAAAATAAGTTTTGGTCAACACATTTTTTCTAAACTTCAATTGTATATTTGCCATGTAATAATAGTTCCGCATTGTCTCTTGTTTTACGGAATTTAAATAGAATACTTATATTTCTTCAAAACTGAGTGGATTGAACATGATTATAACATTGAAATATCTTGAGAATTGTTATTGAAAGAGAAAGTATTTCACTTTTAGTTGCCAATTAATGTACAGGGTGTGTCTAAATGCTTTAAAAATGTTACAATTTTGGTAGTTCATATGAACCGGCACATGAGGTAAAAAGATGTATTTTAATCGTCCACTTCCAACACCTAAATCTCGGCGTAGCAAGGGTATTAAATTGAACAATCTTATCTGTCCTTTTTTAAGTTAATGAACTGTACATTGTACTACGTTTTTGAGGATTAGAATGCAGGTCTAATAAAAAAAATGGGTGCAGTGCCATTGAATAGTTTTTTTATTTGATATTTAAAGGCTTTCTAATTTTTCGATCAGTTTTGTAATTCCAGGGATATTTCTCCATTTCCACACCCTTTGGAAACTCGATACTTTAGGACTTAAATAATCGATTTTTTTCTTTGTTACACCAACCTGCAGCGTATTTTCTTAACACCCCGTATATCATTTGGCAGGGCGCCTAACGGCAGGTTGTTTTTCATCGACCACCACGAACGGACGACGTCGTGGGTGGACCCGCGAACCGGGCGAGCCAGTCCGATGCCGAATCAGCCGGCGGCCCCGCCTACGAACAGGAAGCCCGATGACGACCTTGGACCGCTGCCTGAGGGGTGGGAGGAGCGAGTCCATATCGACGGTCGCATCTTTTTCATAGACCACAGTAGGGTTGAGGCGCGGACATCCGCGCGGTCGTTCTTTCGGCGTTCTAAAATGAATTAATTATCTTGCAGACACAAGGACAACGCAGTGGGACGACCCTCGGCTGTCCAACCCGCAGATAGCGGGTCCCGCGATACCCTACTCGAGGGACTATAAGAGGAAGTATGAGTACATGAAGACTCAGCTGAAGAAACCGGTAAGCCGGCATCAGTGACCGTTTCTATATTGGAGAGGTCAGACTGTCATGTTTGCTTTGCAGACCAACGTGCCGAATAAGTTCGAGATCAAAGTCAGGAGGCGGAGCATACTCGAGGACTCGTTCCGGGTGATCACGACGGTGCTCAGGGTCGATTTGCTAAAGACGAAGCTGTGGGTGGAGTTTGAGGGCGAGGTGGGGTTGGATTACGGTGGGCTGGCCCGCGAATGGTTCTATCTGCTGTCGAAAGAGATGTTCAATCCGTATTACGGATTGTTCGAGTATTCGGCAATGTAAGTAGGGCTCTTGAAGCTGATTGGTAGTTAAATGCAGGCGTACCGATTTGATTAGTCGAAGTTGATAATTCTAATGCGCCTATAGGCAATGTTCTTTTTAGTTTCTTTTTAGTTCAATTATATTTCTGGAAAAATTAATAAAAAATTACTTATCCATTTTTCACAGCAACACAAAATCAGTAATTAAATGTCTTCTAGTCTAGCAATTAAACTGAGTATGTCTAACCGTTCAGATGTATTTTCCGCAAGCAGCACGCTTTACTACGGAACTCTATATAAACACTATCGGTTTTGTGTTTACCGTGCGTGGGCAAAAAAATGGTTATAGCTCAAACGCGTTGCCTCGAAAAAAGTGCTGTAGGCGGTAGTTCAAAGGTTCTCAAACAGCGCTTGAAATTCCGTTTAATTTTGTTTTTTCCAAAATCCTACAGCTCGCATTGAGTGGTGCAATTTTTGTACTTACTTTATTGTGCAGGGTGGGATAAGGTGGACACTTTTAAAGGAAAACTCTCCTTTCTATTGGGAGATAAACGGAAACTGATTTTTGTGCTTGGGGCTTGATGGATATTGGTAAAAACCTCCCATGGGTATCTAGTACTATTTTAGAGTTTTGGGACAACGTGCATTAGAATTTTATGATTTAAATGTAATATTTTTAAAACTCCTAGTTTATTAGTTTTCAACCCAAAAAATGATTTTTTTTATTTTTAGATGTAATTATGTAAATATAAAATATATTTATATATAAATATTGACTGCGCTATAGTGTTGGTATGATAATTTTAAGCTCCTTTCAATGATCCAATAATAAACAGTGTGTCGCATATAAAAAATAGATTTTTCGGTTGACAACTAATAAAATAATAAAATGTTTTTATGTTTGGTCTATCTCGTTTAGAAAGGGTGAGTTTCCCTTTGAAAGTGTCCAGTTTGGCTCACTCTGTGCAGGATACGTGAAATATTTGGAACAGAAAACATCGTCACTTCAAATGATTTTTAAATTCAAATTTCATTTGGTGTTAAGGATCAGACAGCACGGTAAAGAAATACTTTCATTTTTCATTTAAATATCTGACATGACGTAAAATGTAGCGGTACTTTATTGTAAAAATGTATTGCAAAGCACCATGCCTGGTTGATTTGATTAAGGTTCTCCAAAATGAACGGGGGTAGCAAGGTCAAAATGTAAGTCTGAAACGCTTGAAGATGATATAATGAGTAATAATTGTGTTGCGTTGATTAGTTTCTTGAAAGTGTAGCAACTGTTAATCCAGGAGTGTAATTAAACACGAAACCGAACTTAAACAATTTGCTATTCAAATGAAGTGGGTACCAATATCAAAACGTAATTTAACATGTCACACGTATTAACGCTCGCCAACGGCCATCTTCTCTTGCACTAGCCCGCTCTTGTTGCTTTTATTTGGTACCCTGTGGCTCACTCAAGCGGAACCGTACGTATTTACTTCAATGACGCGCTCTGGTCGACGACTAATTGGTTTATGGGCGGATAGATGGCGGAGTGGGTGTTCATTTGTTACAAAAGGCATTTTATACGGAGCCCGCGCAAATTTAATTTCATTGTCGAGCGAAAAGTTTTCCAGGAGTCGGTTGTAAGAATAATTTGCCTTTTTAAGGGACAATTACACTTTACAAATCAACCCAACGTCGGGACTGTGCAACGAGGACCACCTTGCGTACTTTAAGTTCATCGGCAGGGTGGCCGGTATGGCGGTGTATCACGGCAAACTTTTGGACGGTAAACGCCACTCTCACAATTAATAATGATGCGACTGTGTGTGTCTTTCCATAGCGTTCTTCATCAGGCCGTTTTACAAGATGATGCTGTCGAAACCCATCGACTTGAAAGACATGGAATCGGTCGATTCCGAATACTACAAGTCGCTGCTGTGGATCAAAGAAAACGACCCGTCCGGTTTGGACCTGACGTTCTCCGTCGACGAGGAAAAATTCGGTGAAACGTCGGTCCACGAGCTGATCGATGGTGGCGCCAACGTGCCCCTAGACGACTCTAATAAGGACCAGTACATCAAGTGAGTGTATGCGTTTTACGCTATTAGATAATATAGTGACCCTTATACCCTAAAAATCAATCAATCAATCAAATCAAATATGTAACGATCATAGGATCTACTTCTTTTAGTATGGCAAAATTGGATGTTTTTTAGAATAAACAAGACAAAGACTAGTCAAAAGTATTTAACACTAACCAACACTATTTAAGAGGTTGCAGTTCAAGTACAGTGAAATAAATGTAAATCTTTATTATTTAAATTAATAGCTCATAATATTTGCTATTTTCAAAACTTATTGTATTACTACAGGCGGCTTACACTTTGCTAGATTTTCTTTCGAAACAGCGAATTCCAGACACCGAACTCCTTTTCCCAAAACATTTAACGAGATGGAGCCATATTTCGAAAAAATACTGTCAGCGGCCCTGGTGGATGTTGAATGCTGCAAGATCATTGGTTAAAAACGAGATTTAACTCTCGCGCGTCCGCATGTTGAATAGAGCTTCTCAAAATTTTTTTCATAGTTACCTGATAAGTGTTTGTATTATCGGCATAGATAGTGCCTCTAATTTATCTATATGGTAGTTTTAAAAAAATGCTGCAGACTGTGAAAAATTGCTTCAGTTTGTTTTATCAAAATTAATTCATGTGTCTTGCACCAACTGCCCCCCTCCCCATCACAATCAAAGTCCTAAAAATTCAATTCTTGTGCCCACCACACGCATGATCATAACAAATCGTTTAAAAAGGTGACATTTAACTTACAAAATCGGCCATTTTGATGGTTTTTTTTATTCAAAATTTACGAGATTTTTTGTTCTGAAAATATTTAAAAAAAAAACAAGCATAAAAAATTACCGGAGAAAAAATGCCGATTTTTCTTTATCGTAATTTAACTTTTTTGGGAAAATATTTCATACATTACCGTAAATTACATAAATACATTACAAGATTTTTCAATCCAACCTTACAATTCATTGAATAAAAGTATTAATATATTAAGATAGTTTAAAAGCGGAAAAGCAATTTTTCCTCTCAAGAAAAAGTGAAAACAAACTTTTAACTATATTAAAATAGGATTCCCTGTCTCTACACTATTGTGTATATTATTCTATATAGATTGTGTTACAATTTACTTACCACTAGGGAGAGGCCCCGTTTGGGCTTTCAAGATTCTAAGCGATTAAGTCAGAAAAAATTATTGAAAAACACAGAGTTTTAACGTAACTTACAAAATAATACCATTAAATACACGGATTGGCACCAGGTGCATAATACAGTGGCGGTTCGTCGAGAGGGTGCAGGAACAGATGAACGCGTTCCTGGAGGGTTTCAGCGACTTGATTCCCCTCAACATAATCAAGATATTCGACGAGAACGAGCTCGAGCTGCTGATGTGCGGCATCCAGCATATCGACGTGAAAGACTGGAAACAGAATAGTCTGTACAAGGGCGATTACCACGCAAACCATATCGTCGTTCAGTATTTTTGGAGAGTCGTTTTGTCATTTAACAACGAGATGAGGGCACGACTGTTGCAATTCGTCACTGGTACGTCGCGGGTACCGATGAACGGTTTCAAAGAGCTATACGGCAGCAATGGGCCGCAGTTGTTCACGATCGAGAAGTGGGGCACGACTGACAACTACCCGCGCGCGCACACGTGGTAAGACCCAGTTTTCGCCAACTTTTATTTTATGCATCTTGATAACATTGGTCTTCTGTTAATTTAAAATAACCACTATTTTAATAGGTAATTAGATTTTTCACTTGCGCTGTATACTTGACGTCGCAACTTGGCGAAAGCGCGACTTTTGCAAGTTGCCAAATGTACACGGTGGGCCAACTTGCACGCTTTTAAAGGAGTTCTTCTTCTCGGACTGATTACTGTTAAATAGGTTATGTCGAAATCTTGCGAAAATGCTTTTAAGACGTTGTTTTCTCTCATGATATTGGTTGCTGTTCTTTGCATTATTCTCAGCTTTCATGAAACAAAATATAATATTCCATTTATTTAACACCTAATCAAAACTACCGGTACACAGTTGCTCCGTGCAAAGTCTACTTGTTCAAAACTTTCAAACAAAATATGAACTTTGCTATATTTTCTAAAAGAACAATTTTTCGGTTGATAACTAATTTGAACAAAACCACCAAAACGGATGCCTGAATCAGTGATAGAACAGTGTACATACAGTTTTAAACATCTTTCCATACTTTTTCCCCATGCGGTATACTGCTCGTTGCAGTTTGCTAAAAGCGCAAGTTTTGAAGTAATTCATTTCTACTCTTACTTGCTCTACGAAACTTACCGATTAACTTACCGATTTTATTACGATATTATTTGCAATTTCGTTGGTGAATCTCAAGTAGTTTTTTGCACTCTTGTGTTTTTCGTGCGCAAATTTAAAGTAGTTCAAATGTACCCAAGTTAATTATGATAAAATTGAAAAAAAAATTTTCAGTTTCAATCGATTGGATCTACCTCCGTACGACAGCTACCAGCAACTGAAGGAGAAACTAATAAAGGCCATAGAGGGCTCGCAAGGTTTCGCGGGGGTCGACTAGTGATACTTGTAAAAAAAAACTCGTGAAGCGTATGTATATGAGATTATAATAATTTAAACTGTTCTGTCCATTAATATCTAAGGTTTTAAAAAATATTTTTCAAATTTTCTTAATCTATTCTGCATTGGAGCGTTTGGTGAATGATAGTGTTGATAACGTGTAGGACTGCTCTGACTGAGCAGACGAGAAACGGGGCCAATATTTTTTGACGAATAGCGAACGCTCCTCATTCCACCATAATATATATATACATTATATTTTTTAAAGTTATTATTATGTATACTTTGTATAAAATACACGTGGTTAAAATGAAGGTGTAGAATGTGATAATGTAAACATAAGCTTTTTTAATGATACAAACTTGTTATAAATTGTATAATTTTTTTTTTAATATATACGATTTTTTTTTAACTTGTCCTATAAGGCAGTGTCCTTAAACGTGGGTGCAATATTTTTGTCGTTCTTTAATTTTTCATTGGAGATTTGTTTAACGAGTTCACCGATAAAAAGACAAAACGAAGGAGAGATTAGAGAATTTGTTAACGATAAGAGAGGTTTAACAGCCACACACCGTTTTTGATGTATTATTTATTCCCTCTGTAGGTTTAATTTCTATTTATCTGTTTTTTTTTTGTATAAATACCGTAAAAAATAAATAACCAGGAGGCAATAAAACGATGTTTTATTTTAACTTGCAAGCCTGCTAGTGGTCTTACACACTGATTGATTTGTAAGCTATTTATTTCAAAAAGTTGAAAAAATCCAAAATCCTATTGCCTAATTAATGCCTCCATGTATCCTTAAGTTCACATAAAATGTATTTTAAATATATTACATAGCTTTCTGCAAATGTCAACAAAACTAAAAAAACTTTGATAACAAAAAAAAAACAATCATGAACTTCACCTCAGGAGCGAATGAGACTCAGAAATATGTCATTTAGGACATTGCGTCCCAGAAATAAAAGGTTCTGACCCTTTTAAATGCCATTGGTTGTGCTTTTGGAAGGCACCTCTGAGTCGCCTACTCCAGGAACACTCATTCTTTGTTGGGTCAACTCCGAGACCAGTCTTCGTATGTATGAGTTCTCAAATTTACCATTGAGAGAGTTGAAATACTCCTGGCACTTGTGGGGTGTTTTGTCCCTTTTCTCGTACTGTGTTGCGGTAAATAACAAATCAAACCGATCTAAATCTTTGACAAATTTGGCTTCTGGCGTCTCTTTCGCTTCATATTCTTTGTATAAGTTATAAACCATACTCCCTATTTCTGGACCTACAGTAAAAAAAGCATCTCATTATTTTTTTTTCATTTTTAATGCAAACTTACCTGCCTAAATGGGACGTGATCTCTTTCATGGCTTCATCTTCCTGTCGATGTTTGTCCTCTTCAGTGACATTGTCATGTGGAGTAATATCCCCGACGATGGCTTCGGCCAAGTCGTGCACGACGGCGAGTTGCAAACATTTCAGCCTGTCCAGTTTGGAGGAGTCGCCCAGCATAAAGGTCATCATCGCCATGGCGTACATGTGCCCCGCTATTTGCTCGTGGTCTTTTACCTTGGAAAAAATCCATCCGCGCCGCGGCATGTGCTTCAAATTGTTTACAAACTCCAAAAATTTAAGAGCTTCTTTGGGATTAATGTTTTCCATGTCGTTCAATCTATGCTAATAATCTTAAACCCTGATCAGTACTTAAACCGCGCCAAAATTTTCACGGCCGATAAGACGTATAAGTATCTCGATATTTCATCCTTGTCTATGTAGACTTTCCTTCTTGGGAACTGAATATCAGGCGTTTTTCCGTCTCTATTCGTCGCTACAAAACTTTCACATTAAACTAATCACCTTTGCAAAAAAATTCAAACACTACAAGGTTATTTGATTACATCATCGACACATTGCTTTGCGACCAAGCGAACGATTTGAACTACTCTAAATATTTGGAAATACTTTTTGACACATAACGCATTTGAACTACTTTAAAATCAAAGTTTTGGAATTAACAAAAATAATGCTCAAATAACGTAGGTACCTGTTAGAAAATGAACGGTTGAAATATCGGAGAGTTGTCAAAAAACTTGTCATCCCTCACAACAGTGGCCTCCTGCTTTTATTCATCCATAAAAACGCCGCAACAAGTTTGATTTTTCATCAAAAAAATTATTAGTTAACTTACGAAAATGCCGCGCAGAAATATAGGCAAGCATTACAGCGAAATGTTCTCTCTGCGCGGTGTTTCTGAATTGTACTTATAGGCCCAGGGCCCGGAAAGTATTTATTGCCCCCGGTAGTCGGTTTCGAACGTCACGACTTCACAAGATATCGGAATCCCCAGTATTCGATGGGCCTGCGGCTGCAATCGATTCACAAAGCTTTGGGGCCGGGACCGAAATATCCCATCGAGAAAATGACTAGATTCGGGAAAGCGAGCCCGCCAGCTTATTCGATAAAGTGGAGACAGAAAACGACCGGTAAAATATTCGCATATTCGATAGGCGTTGTATCGATATTTTCTAGGCACTTTTCACACTCCCGGGCCCGGCACTTACGCACCCGAAAAAGCGCCCAGAATGAAGGAGCCCAGACCGCCGGCTTACTCCATGTCCTACAGATACCCGGGATACAGACCTTACGTTACTCCTGGCCCGGACAAATACGAAGTCCCGTCGACATTAGGCCCCAAAGTGCCTGATAAGCCTGCGAATGCCGCATACAGCATGTGAGGGGGTGATCTCAGAGTATTAATCGGGAAACTTTTAAAGCATATAGTTATTAAACAATATGGTGGTCATATTCGGTAAAAGTTGATGCGCCGCAGGCCGCATTGATATTTTCGTGGAGAAGGTAATGATTTTCCACGCATGCTACTCCATTTCACTTATCAACCTGCACGTTGCATCATTTTCTTTCTTAACAGCGAATTCCACACACTTAACTTTTTTTCCCAGAACATTTAAACACATCTAGGCATATTTTGAGAAAATACTCCCGTAAAAATGCCGCATAGAAACTTATTGGCGATCTGGTAGTGGCCATGTTGGTTGTCGACTGGCACAAAGTTATTGGTTAAAAACAAGATTTTAAATATGGCGGCGCATGCGCATGTTGAATGAATCTTCTCTGAAGTTACTTGCATAGTTGCTTCATAAGTCCTCTATTATCGGGATAGGCAAGGCCCCTGTATCTCTAGTAGCTGTTTTAACGTATAAAATGGACTGCTGGTTTCATTTCTCGTTACAGCTTAGCTTGGCATAACAGTATTGGTACCACTCAGTATATAATTGATACTCCGCAGCTGGCTATGATATTTTCGGAAAGATGGGAATGTCCTGCGTATGCCTGTACATTTCATTTCATTGTCTTTCTAGACTGTAATCTCCAAACACTTAATTCAGATAGAAATGCCCTGCGTATGTCCCTACATTTAATTTTATTTTCATTCTGGACTGCAATCTCCACACACTTAATTCATTTTTATTTCTGAGGATTCAAACTTAATGACAATCTGTCAACAGCCATGTTGGTTGTCGAATGCTGCAAGGTCATTGGTTAAAAACGAGATTTTAAATCTCGCTCATGCGTATGATAAATGGACGTTCTCATTTTTTAAATAGTTGCTTCACAAGTTTCTATGTTATCAGCATAGCTATTGGCTATATCTCTAGCAACTATACGGTTTGTTGATTGACAGCTGCCAAGAAAAGAATTGTGACAGACATTGCGACTCCTAAATTCCTATATAATAAACTGTTTTCAAGTCAATTTGTTATTGCAATTTTTTAGGGATTCAGAAGTCACCGAAATTGTCTAAAAGTCGAATTCGTTTGGTTAGTCATAAATATGATTGCAGGTCGTTTAGGCAACATTTGCGAGACGCGGAAACGTCGCCGGGTCCCGCGGCGTACAAGGGATGGGGGGGCGACGCGCACCGACCGAGAGCTCCCATATACACTATATCTCCCAGAGTTTTCCCTCCAGATAAGCAAGAAATCACACCCGGGCCTATATATTTCCCAAAGCTGCCACAAAAACCTGGGTATTCATTCGGGTTGAGGACAGACTTGGAACCCTATATCACGGCGGACGATGATATGCCGTGTATCAACAGAGACTAAGTAAACTCGTATGGAAATCCATGTAAAATGTGAGGGATTTAAAATAAAAGTTGCAGAATATAATAAAACTTTATTAAAAATTTCATACAAAAAATGTGTAAGTTCGAGTAATAAATGGTTATTAAAGCTTCAAGCAAGTTACAGAATGATTAAGAAATATATTCCTAGTCATCCATTAGCACACCGCTAGTCAATGCACCCCCCTTTCCGGTCCATTCCTCTTTAAGCTGAACTTTACATCCCAAATCCCTGAGCGATGCCTTAATGTCGTATTCAATGTCTCTAAACTTTTTCAAATCCTCTTGCAGGATATCTTCCACTCCCAAATCGAGGAACTTCTTTGTTTGGTATCGGCTCCTCGACACCATGTTCCTTATAGCCCAGCTGGCTGTTTTCTGCAACACCTCGACCTATTTTCCGAACTCTACTGCCAATTTTTTAACTAACCTGGACTTGCTTCTGATCAGAGTGCACCGACATAACCTCCACAATAACCTCCGCCACGCCCTCTTCGAACAAAGCTTTGCTATTGTGGGGGTTTCTCAGTGTCAATGCAGCGATACACGACAAACCGGCCGTAGCAGTCGCGGCACTGACAACGTTGGAATGGAGCGCATGACAAATGACCGGCCCATAGCCCGACTGTATTAGTCGAGACTTAACCTCGTCGTTCCCCGCTAGTGCTTTAATCAATTTAAAACATTGCCTAATCACTTTCTAAAAACAAAGTCCAATGGTTTCTGCCTTGCCCAGCTATGGTCTTTCTCACTTCATTCCCTTGAAAAGTTTCCATTACTGATTTGAGAAGATCCAAACCGCCCGACTCCTCAACCTTTTTGCAAAACTCTGTCCTTACCAACAACGACGTCAATGTCAACACCAAGTCATAAACTATCTGTTCATCACGTTTAAATCCTAAAATTCCAATTCTCGAGAAAAGTAAAAAACTCAGAGCAAAAGTGAGGTTAAAAAGTGGTGGACCTAAAACGGTTAATCACCTTTGCGAATGGCATGGCTGTGACAGTTTTCTCTAACTTAACCCTTTATTTGCTATACTATACTAAGATTCATTTCAATAGTTTTTAGAAACAATGATTTACAATACAGTGTTTGTTAAAATGTAAAATTGCTCAATATTGCTCAATTAAACTGTTAAACAATAGCAAATGAACGAAGCATTAAGGCTAAAGGAACTAAACAGATTTATTTCATAGGTTACAATTCCTGCCATAGAACAAAAAACTGATACTCACTAATCATTAAATTAACAATAGAATCCAATGTTTCACCAGCAATAACCTTGGCATGTTCGTGGGCTCGCCCAAACTCTACTCTTACATCATCGTCTAGTACTAGCGCTCTGCACACCCCTAAACACTCTCTTATCAGTTCCACGGGCGACTTTTCGTTTAAAAATTCTTTTAAATTCTTCAGTATATGTGCATCAAAAATTTTTTGTCTAAAATTTTCTGAATAATTTGCAGATTAAAATCTTCTACACGCCATACCTATTGACTTCGTGCATCACACAGCACTCTTTGGTCCACTTCAAAGTCAGCCTTTGCAACTCCAAGTCTAGAGTATTGTTGTTTAAGTTTGACATTATAAAATCTATACCACGGGGGTCCAAAAGATCTGGCTGCTTAGTCATAAGGGCTACTAAGGCCCTTAAGCAGGCCAGCCTCACATTTTTCTCAGTAAATATTGAATATGTGTCTAAAAGTATGCCATATGCACCTGCTTTGCCTATAAAGTATTGTTGGTTGTTAATTAACGAAAATATTAAAAAAGCACATATTTACCAGCTAAAACTTTGTGTTGGATACCTCTTTCACATTCACTTTTTATTACATTCAAAGTTGTAATCACATCTTCGGGAGAATCTCTTGACTTATGGAACTGTTGAAGTTGTTTAATGGCTTGGGTTATTTCGCAGGTTTCTTGATCTGACAGGGTCTCTTTTACTATTTTACTTAAATCTACACCCTAAAAGTGGATCATCCTAAAAAACTTTACTTAATATTATTTAACATTTACTTGGGCCTCAAATTGCTTGACGGTTTCGTCAACGGCTTCCTCCTGCGTTAAACCTAGCAGTTCAATGTTTTCCTTAACAGCTGCATCGAAAGTTTCCTGAGAAATTTCCAAAACCATATTTAGAAAAGTTAAATAGTGATATAGGATTTTCAACTTCTTCGATAATAAAATATGAAATATGTTCTGAGTAATTTACGATTAAATTTTTAGCAAAACAGGCTTTGAAGTTTCGGAAAAACTACAAATTACTTGCTGCGAGCTAACAAATAATTTGACACAAGGATTAGCTCACATTGCCAAATTTTATATTTTACTATCCACCAATTTTGCTGTTTTGGTTCTCAGTCATCTTTTGGGTTGAATCTGTAAGTTCTTTTACAAAAATAGAAAGTTTTTTTTTCATTAAAATCAAACATATTAGACCGCGAGTTTTTTTTGTTGCACCAAATACAAAATTTACTTGGATTTAAGTAACCATGCGGCAACATAGCAAAGGCTGATTCCAGTGTTGACAAATTCAATTTTGTACAATTCCGTGCTGAATTGGTGCGAAGTATTACCAAGATATTTTGGCGTTATCATATTTTATTATTATTTTAATTATAGCGTAAACAAACTTTAAGCTGAATGCGTGTACATTTTCGTTGTGTTTAGTTCATTTATGAGAGATGTGGCAACACTGCACCACGGCAGAAGGCAGAAAAACTGTTGACGAAGTACCTATTGCTGTTGATCTTTTAATTTTCGATAGGTTCACAATCCCATAAAATTAATTTTTAGAAGTAAATTGTTGCTTTGGAAATATATTTTCGAGACCGCCGGAAATAAACTTTCGTCACATTCCCAACCTGAGCCATTGATATTTGTAAAAAAATGGCACAGTGGATAGGATATTTGGTCTCGATAAAGTGTGCGGATGGATTGGGAACCTACCAGGGGGAAATTAAGTCCGCAACGCATTCCGCTATTGTTTTGACGAAGGCTTTTTGTAACGGATTTCCCTGCGAAGAGCCCGAATTACAGATAAAGTGTGCCACCCTAGATCTTCAGTATAAATTGGTTAAATGGAATAATTTCTAGCGCCTGCGATATAGTTGACTTAAAATTGATTGACAAGACGCCTTCTAATAAGGTAGAAGAAACTAGCACCATTACAATAGCCAAACCTATACCAAAAAGGGCCGGTAGAGCTCAGAGTACCTCTGAGCCCAGTACTTCTAAGCAGATGAACGGATCTTATGGTAGTAAGTCCAAACCCATTGATATTGCCTGTTTCAAGCAGTTTAATGATAGTCTGCCAAACTCCTACAATAAAAATTATACCCCCAACAACAATAAGAGAGACAAAAACAAGGGTAAGTTGAGTGGCAGTATATATATAATTCTCTTTATTTCGTTAATAATTAACTGTGTAGTGAATAATATTCAAAATTTGATCCATTCTGTTGGGATTACAAAGAGCTTCAAGTAATCTTGACGCTGTTTGAATCACTAGCCACAGAATATTAATTTTATTGTTGGTTTATAACCTCTAAAACCCACTCAAAAGCAGTATAACCAACCATCCAAGAAATAAATTACTGGAAAAGAGCGAAGTTATTTTTCTGTTGTTTTTGGATTTTGCCAAATAGAAGAAAATAATAATTTGGGATTTTATTAAAAAACAACACAGTGTCCAAATAAAACTCAAGTTGTCACGAGTCAGGAGTTATTTTATGTCATTAGAAATTCATTTTATAGGTTATAAATCTCTGGGTGGGTACGTACTTATGTGTATTACTTTTGATTTGTCATTTAATGTTCAGTGTACTCCCATTTTATAAAGGTAAATGGTCGAGAAGCTGGAAAGATGAGGAATGTTTTGGATCGCCACTGGACCATAAAATAAGCAAGGATTTTGATTTTGAGAAAAATTTAGCTCTGTTTGATAAACAAGCCATATGGGACGAATTAAATTCTCAGAGACCCGACATCGTTAAAAATACAGATAATAAAAAAAATGGCAAATACAGGTAAGACTCTTGTGCATAAACATTGAACGTAATTAGGTATTTTTCTTATATACTTAATAATGAGCTGCACAAATTCGGTGATACAGATCTGTAGAGTTAATTTTGGTTCGATTAGTAGATCAAATTTCGTTTACCTTTAAAGTGGCCAAAAAAAATAGGTATCCTGAGGTTATTCGTCAATATTTTTTTGTCACAGGCACGACGAAAACGTCATAGCGACGATACCAACTTCGTTTCGACAAATCACAGTACCAAAACAGGACTTCTGCGAATACGTCACAGACGATGGTCTTATCATACCCAGTATATCACGCACGTTGCGCAAAAAATTGTTTGAGGTGGCGGACAGAGTGGGCCTCACGTGGGACAAGCGGATCGAGTTGATGGGCAGGGCCGCGACTGAGATCTCGATCCAGTTGTTGGGAGGCGGCCACAGGCTCAATCCCCACAACACCCATCAGTGGCCTACCGTGGTCGTGCTGTGTGGTCCGCACAAGTTAGTTACTTTTTTTCTATTGCAAATTAAACTCTTTCTGTTTTGTGTAGATCAAATCAACCATAAACTTCCCAGAAAAAGTTAATTTAACTTGGCAACATCGCATCGAGCTTGAAAGTTGCCAAAACCCAGTGCTTACAATCCACATTCTTGGATCTTTTATTATAGAAACCTTTTATTAAGGTATTTTGTTTTTATGCACCCATCAGTCAATATCATTTTATGTAATATGGTCCAGTCGTGTTTTCCTTAGAGGGAGATACGCAAAGACAAGAGAGAGATCAACCATTGTTATGATAATTTTTCGCTCTCGTCCATCATTTGTTTCACAATCTGGCAACACCGTTCTACCATCTGCATGCCTTGCGTCATATTCTTTAAGAGCGCAATGCAGTGTTGCCAAGATGTTCGAATTATTTTTACCGACACGTTTTGTGACGAAGTTCGTCTCATCTTGGGTAGGGCGGGCGCTGTAGGCCTAAATACAGCTCGACAGCTGGCTTCCCACGGGGTCCGATTGGTGGTCTACTGCGTGACGATGGACGCTACACCCCTAAAGCGTGAGCTGACTTTGTATTCATTGACTCACAACAGGATCCTGAGCAACGTGTCAGATCTGCCATCTACCTGCGACCTGGTGATCTGCGCGTTGTGCGAGGACATCGAGAATCCGAAGCACTACCCCTTACTAGCCGAATGGGTGAACAAGAATAAGGCGCCTGTGTTGGCGTTGGATCCACCCACCAGCGGTACCCCAGGTAAACATGGTTGTTACTTTTTATACGTTACAGTCTAAAAAGTAATTGTGGTTATAAGCTCTTAATTCATAGTCATATTCAAAATTTTAGTTTTGGTTAATTTAAAGTGTACATTACTCTTTGTTAATTCTCAACAATAATTTAGAAAACAAATGTGCTGTAATTGTTTGGACAGTTAATACAACACTGGTGAAGAGCATCAACTTGTTCAGAAAAAAATGTTTTGTCTTGTGGTGAAAACTACTCTTTCACTTCTATAATTGGCGGCTCATTTATGAAAGGGTATCCCACGAGCAAATTCTCGAAGTTTGGGGAATAAATGGTGGTCATTGGGTCCCTTCTTTTTCCTCCATTGGAGTCGGCTTCATTATAATTATAGTGTGACTACTTTGCAAAGAGTCGATTAGGATAACTCCTTCAGTATCCCAACAAAAAAACGCCATAATCTTCCCTGCAGATGCTGTTTGAGGGATTGGCAAGCCTGTGTGCCACCATTCCGTCTCCGCCTCTTTGACTTGGGATTCATCTTTAAATTCTGATCCGATATCTAATTCTTGATGTAAAAACTGTGGATGTGTAGTTGAAGGCCATCACCCAAAAGTCACATTAGTGACTTCTATTAAAATCAGTGTCTATATTTATTCGTAGATTTATTTTGTGTACACGTTTTTTGCAGGCGTTTTTCCCAAGTTTTCCCTTTTACCGGTGTTGCCTCTGCCTCACTCTCCCTGTAACGGAAAATTGTACCTTTGCAACCTGGGATTCCCGGTCGATATATTCAACGAGGTTGGTATTAAGTACAAGTCACCGTTCGGGCCCAAGTTCGTGATACCTTTGCATCCACGGGACGAGTGAATCGATTCCAAACAATTGGAAACAGCGAAATAATAGAAACAAAAAGAAATTAACGATCGGAGCGCGTGACAATTTTATAAGGTTGTATTTGGATCGGTTTCTAACCTCAAAGTGTTGGTGACAAAACGGGCGGGTCGATGATATTGCCAAACTGTGCAAAATCATGCCCGGATTTTTTTTTCTTTTTAAAACGATTTACACGATATTTTTGTACGGAAAATTGAATAAAGCTGTTTTCAACTTCGGATTTGTTTGTTTTTGTTTGGCGTCCGCCATGATTGATCGCACGCGCGTCAACATTCAGTGTATTGCCGCTTAACCTCACTTTTAGCAGAAAATTGGCCTATTAAAGTGTTTTTTCTGTAATTGTTGTGTATCAATTTAAATTAGTAGCATGATGAATAAATTCGTTTTTTGTTGAGTAGACGAAATTTTACCGCCACCGTCATTTTTTTCATCTACTCGGGTTGTATTGTCAAAAATTATTTTCTGTACCAGCGAATAATATTTGGAAACTCTTGTTATATTTTCCTCGAAATCATTTTCATTCCTTTTAATAAAATTTACCGCGACCGTCGGAGCTGACAAACGTCAAAACTCTAAAAAACGTCCGAAACGACAATAAATATAATTGTATTGATAATTTTTTTGAAGCGACGCTTTCCGTACGCTAGATTAGTGCATAATTTTAGAGTAAGGAGTAGAAAGAAATTATTAAGTTTTACATATTTAATTCTTATTTTGAGAACTTGATGCACTTAGGTGACGGAACCATAATTACCATACGGCCCGCCATTCTCTGGTTCAAATATTACGAGTATGATTCAAGATCACGAAATAAAACGAAAAACGGGACAATGACGTTTTGTCGAAACGATATCTAATGTTTTTGTATTTTACAGTTTGAAGGTTGTTAATTTGTTAACTGTCTCCTTTAACCGCAACAAAATGTATTTACTTAATTACTACTTATACACTTAAAAGAAATTAAATGAAGCGCGTGTTAAATTAGGTGCAAGTCACGGTGTTGTTTACTAAAAACAAAATGGCCGCCGAACAATATCTAAGTACAAATGACGTCAATGAAGGACCAGACGCGTTTCGCAAAGCTTCACCTAAAAATAAGCCGCGTGACCACAAACAACATCCGTTTTTTTGCGGAATCACGATTGTTACAAAATTTTTGGAAAATTTTTCCGAACAAGTACCCCCGATAAACAAAAACAACACGTCTTGTTTTCGTCTTCGTCATTGTATTGTAACGTCACCCGAAAATTACCAAATAATGTTCCTGTATAACGCAATCGAATTTGTGATTCTTTAAATCTGCTTATATTAAATTTTATTTCCTTTTAAAATCAACATTGGCTTTTAAATATTTTGTTTGTTGTTTGTTTCGTTTTCGCTGTACTGATTCTATTGACATTTTTTGAAATATGCATTCATTCATTCATTTTTTCAAATAACCTGGCCAAGTGTTACAATTATGTACTTTGTTAATTATATGTGTTCTAATCTAAAGGACAATTTTTCAGAAATTTTGGAGATTATAAAGAGAAAAATTAATATCTTGTGAGTTACGAGTTTAAAATAATATTTTGAAATTTTCTTATCACTTCAGATATTTTTATGAAACTTTGTATACAACTTCTAAACATTTGACGAAAAAGATTTTTTAAATGTTTACTTTACAGAAAACAATGGCACGCCACTGCTTCTTCCCAAAAACTTATTATTTCTATCTGGAACAAATTTTCACCCATATTTAGTCATTTTTAGTGCACAAAAGCAAAAAAGTTCATTGGGACAGTTTATGATACTTGATATGAAATTTGATAACCACCTAAGTACCTAAGAGTGGCAACATCTTTTTTGGTACATCAAATAATCACTTTGCATCGAGAGCATTACGATATATTTATGGCATTCGTAAATATGAGTGTCCTATAAACTGAAGGAATCCAAATGGGTAACTATGGAAACTAGAAGAGAATTATGCTCATGCCAGATTATATATGTGAGGACAACTACTTATTATTTACTTTTTCTTTGCTTACTTGATACTACCTCCTCCTTGCGTTAATATATTTTGCTGTTACTTAAATTATATCTATTCTAAATTGTTTTTAATTTCTTTTTGCTTAATATATTTTGCAATAAGTATTTTTAATATTATAATCTCTTTTTTGAATTTATATGTCAAATAAGCGTTATTACTATTAAAATTACATGTTGGTAATAACTTATATCAGCACTTAATTATCAAACATCTGTATCTAAATCTACTCAATGCAATGTTACAACCATTGTATTTGCAATCCGCTAAAAAGAGATATAAAATGATACACACCGCACACGTCAATATTTGACAATCTACAATTTAACAAAACAAACTAACCAAAATTATTATTATTAATAAACAAGGAATTTTCGTATGTAGTTTATTGTCTCTATCATTTATGGAAACCTATTACAAGCTGATTAAAAAAATCTACTAGAAAAACAAAAACTGGGTGAAACATTGGATCTTCTGGTCCCAAACGTAACCGCGATCTCTGGCGGCGATTTTCGCGCTGTTGTCGCTACTTCGCATAAATTTACAGTTTTAATTACCTGCCATTAAACGAAAGCCGGCAGACCTGACGCAATTTTAATCAATCTTTCCCAGTTTTATTGCCGATCCGACCGAAAAAAAAATTCGCACACTCCGGCGCTTTGTTACATCACTATTTTGATTGACTATTAATTCTGCGAAATACGTTTTTTTTTTTTAAACGCAAGAAGACGTTTTTTTTCCCACATTTTTAGTAAATTTTTATTCTCGGATCAAGAGGTTCAAAAAAGAATTAATAAACAGATGGCGCTAAGTCCATGAAAAATTAAGTGAATGTCTTTGCTGTGTAGAAATCGTCCCTCCTGTGTCAACTATCTTCAAGAGTAGTTGATTTTAGAGCTACTTGCAAAATTTAGAAGTGGCGGATCTTTAAAGACCAATATTAATACACGACATTATCAGCAGTTGACCAGTTATATTATAAAAAAATGCTACATATCGTAACGTTATATTTCTATGTCTCTGTGTTTCTCTTTATACAAAAACAAAATTTTAAAATAAAAGTTCAGAACACTAGGTAAATATCATATCTGAACTTGTTTGTTAATTTCCATCGAAAGGACTGTGATTGGCTAGGAGTTTGGATCTAAGGCTATCAAATTATATAACAATTGGCATAAGATAATCTCTCTAACCATAAAACATTTGACAAAAAGTTTAAGCCAGTTATATTCTTATTTTTATTGTTTTCTCTTCATGTACTTGTAGGCTTAATAATATAGGAATTAATTATTAAGTTCATGGTCGCTCGCATTGCTTTTTCTGGATATAAATATATTATATATATTCTAGCTTCTTATACAACATCTCATGCTTGGTATTTTTTTCATTCGTAAACACTCCGTACTTTCCGCAGCAAATACCTCTCGTGGCATCAATCGCTCAAGTAAATAAAGCCAAGATGATAAAACACCCAAGGGGGCAAAATCCCAGGTAAACATGCGGTTCGTGAATTATACATCTAAAGAAGGCAGGTAGGTGAGTGTATAAGATAAAATATGATGAAATTTTGTGACACCGAAGATCATGTTGCCGAAAATATTTAGTCTGTCGCCCTTATACATGGTCGCTATGGAATGATGAAATTTTTTATTTTGATGAAATTATTCCGGTCGTACGTCAAGGCTTTTTACATTGCGTTTATCAATGGACGAAATTGGAATTCCTGAAATACGCATTTTTTTTATGTTTGTCCGATTTGGCCGAAAATTTCCGCGAAGGTCAACAATTCTACTGTACAAGAAAGGTCAGAAGTTTTAGAAATTTTGTTTGTGTTTGCTATCTTCGGTGGGTATTTAGAAATTTAGAACCAAATACTTAGGAAATAAGTTACGTGCGGAAATGTGGCGTAAAGGATTAATTGAGGATAACAAACGAATTAAAAATCTTCCTATACGGGGTGACTCGCTTACTTGCTACTGCGCTCTATTTTTGTGCATTTTTAAAAACTTTATAAAAAATTAAGCTAATTTTATAATTAGTGTAAAAATACAGGTGTTATATTTTAAATTTCAATGTTTGTAGTAGCCATTCAAAATTACCCTGTAGAAATAACAAGTGAATTCTAAAGAAATTTAACTAGTAATTTAATATTCATGGCATTATGCATCTAAATACACTACTTTTATTCTATTTTACCTATTCTGAATCTTTAATGGTCACAGTCTGATTGAAGACGTGGCCAGTATGTCATTGATTGATTGGTTGATTTTTAAAAATAAATAATTTTGTTATCTCGTCCCACTTTATTTTCGAAACAAGGTAAGTATAGGGGGCACTCAACCATTGATTCAAATCTAGAGAGGAATTCAATTAAAAAGAAAAACAAGGTGTACCACTGAAAATTTTTTACTCATTGACGTTTTAATTGTTTTCTAAGTTGAGGCAGCTGGGAAAATACGCCAAATTAACGACGATAAAAGTATTATAAAGAAATCAAAGCTTAACTTCATTAATAGTAATGTTCTGACGAGTTTGTCTGGCATTAGTAATACCACAATTTAAGCGGGAAATGTCTAATGGACAAAAAAGAAGGAATAAATGCTAGAGTTGAGAAACGCCGCCATATACAGTTTTCGTCGCCCGGGCACATTTGAAGAATAAAATCCAGAAATAGTATAAAAAGTTCTTGTGAACAGAAGGTGCCCTGCAGAACACCATTGCCGAGATACAGCCGCAATTTTTGCTTCTCCTTTTTTCATTAAAAAAAATATGATCGGTTAAAAAAATGAAGATATCGAAGTAAATCAAAAACTGCTTCTCCGTTTAATCTTGTCGCAATGGTATTTTTGGATCACTTGTGGATATAAACTAAAAAATCTTAAATTACGATTGGTTTCGGATAGATCTAACAGATCCATATACCAAATTCTAAAATTTGCCTTTGGTAACTTAATATTAAGGTATGGATACTCTGTAGATTTTTCCAGTAAATTTGGCCTTGCCAGGGCAGCCTAGATTAAAATCTTCAAGCGAATGAATGTTTCGGCACAAATGTATTTATTTTCTCTAGGTGGAGCTTAGTGTTTGAGAAACGTGGGTTCCATTCCTTCCTCACTTTCTTCAACATCAACACTCAAATGGGACAAAGAAAAAACGCTAAAGTTAACTGAACAATAGGAAATGCGACCAGAATAAGTATGTTAAAGAAAAAAAGGATGTTTCATTTTATGTTGTGAAATGGCGTAAAATAAATTGAAACTATTGTTTTTGGCAGTAATATGATGTTTTTTTAATTTAAGTTTTAAATTAGTTTCAATTTCACCTGTTGCCAAGTATGTTAAAGTAACGTTAAATCATCCAGATGGTGAAATAGCTAATCGTAGGAATTCTGTTTTTTAATTAGAGGTTACCTATAGCTTGCTTAGAGCACATTCTAACATTCTTGGCCCATTGCAGAAAAGTATTGTATAATTTTGCATCTTTATCTTGCAATTCTTTCAATAATTTGGAGGAAATCCATTTTCTTGCCTTGCGACTAGATTCATTCTCACGAGATCTACGTAAGCTCTAGCTAGGAGAAAAATATATGCTGTAACACGACCAATAGTACGCGAAATCTACGAGTGGATCTACAGTGTACGGATTAAATTTTCTCAAAACTACCCGTGTGGTTTTGAGAAATTTTGTCGACGATTTTATTCCAAAAATTGAACTGAGGTGCCTTTTACTTGATGAAAATCCATTTATCAAAATAAATAAGAACTAACAGATTAGATTTTCACGAAATTATATATTATAATATTTACAAATTACCTGCTACTATAAATACCGAAAAATGACCATAAGGCTTTAATTAATGTTGTTGTGAGAATTTAAATTCAATAAAGGAGAGGAATTTAAATCTAATTGATCGTTAAACAATACATTTGAATGTCTCATTTTGTTAATCTTCATAACTTTCATTAAATTTAATTTTCTACTTTTTGTGGCTGCATGTAAAATATCAAAATTGTCGCCAAAAATGTGTTTTTCTGTGCTTAAGTGTGTAGCATAATTAGATCAAGACTATTGTTTTTAAACGCTCTTTATGTTCGTTAATGCGTTTCTTGAAAGATCTTGTTTGTCCAATATAAATTTTAGAACAAGATCCGCATTTTGACCTGTAGACACCTGATTTTTGAAATTTTTTACATTTCGTTTTATTGCTTTTTAAAAATTTTCCTTTTGTGTTGTTAGTTCAGAAAGCTATTTTTAAACCACATTTTGACAAATGTTTTGAAACTTTTTCACTAGGTTCTCGTATGTATGTAATTGTTTTAAATTGTTCGTGTTCTGTATTAGGTTTTGGATAAATAGAGTTTACTGTTGTCTGGATTTGTTTTTTAATTATAATTTTATCTATAATGGACGGATTGTAGCCGTTGTTCAGTGCAATTTGTTTAATGATATAAAGTTCTTTGTTGTACTTTTCTTTTGAGAGTAGCGTATTAAGAAGTATGTGTATAAAAGAGTGAAATGCAGTCATTTTGTGTGCATAAGGGTGATTTGAGCTGTTATGTGTGACTGTGTCCTTGTGTGAAGGTTTATGATAAATGGAAAAATCTAATTTGTTTTGCGTTTTCGTAATAGTTAAGTTTAAAAAAATTAATAGAGTTATCCTGTTCAATCTCGATAGTGAATGTTATACGATTATGTAATGAGTTAATGTAATTTAAAAAAGAATTCAATTGTCCGTCCGTTCCAACAAAGCAAGCAAAGACATCATCCACGTATCTATACCACCATAGAAAACTTTTACTTAAAGGATGTTCTAGTATGGAAGTATCCATAAAAATCTCGGCTAGCGAAGGACTAAGTGGGTTTCCCATAATCAAACCTCCCTTAGAGATGTAAATCTGTCCATTAAATTCAAAATAATTTTGGTCTAAAGGTACTATTAAGCCATCTAATAAATCTTGTTTCACCAATGGGTTAACCTGTTTCCGAGTTAGGGTGAAATCTACTAAATCTATCACATTGTACATCAAGTACAAGTTTTGTACATCAAAAGACATTAGTGTTGCGTTAGAAAGGATTTTGATATCTTTAATTTTTTTATTTTATTTATTTATTATTTTTTAATTATGCTACACACTTAAACACAGAAAAACACATCTTTTACATGCAGCCACAAAAAAAAGAAAATTAAATTTATTACCTTTCCTTTATTTAACTTAAATTCTCACAACATTAATTAAGATTTTATGGTCACTGTTCGGTATATATAGTAGTAGGTAGTTTGTAAATATTACATTTGATAAAGACAAGGTGTTGTCGAAACAATTGCCATGTCAAAATATATAATTTCGTGAAAATCTGAACTATTGGTTCTTATTTATTTACACAGTCTTATTTTGGGACACGCGAACATGTACTAGGCGCACGTCAACAAACCCCCCGTCAGAAGAGGACGCGCAAAAAAAAAATCGGTAGTCGAAAACAAATCGGAAAAAATGATCGCGCGATACCCACCGATTTCATCATCCACACGAGCTGAGCTCGACCGGCGCGTAGGTATACAAAACTCCGCTTACATCATCCGGAGCTTTGCTCGACGCTGCTATAAAAGCCGGAGGGTGGGTAAGGAACTTTATCATTCGCGCCGAGTTCTTCGCAGCACCGCGTGTCCCTCAAAGTTTTTTACGTCGCAGTACTTTCCTTCCGTTCGTTTTTTTTTTGCACTTTCTTTTGACGAGATGGCGAAAACTCACACGATCGATTACAACCACTTCATCAACACCCACAGCTCGAGACGAAGGCCCGCACTCACCAGGGAGCTGAGTAAGTTTTAATTCTCTTCGAGACTAACTTTAACAACTGAATCGACTAACTTATTAATTTTTTCCGAAATTTCAATGGAACATATTCAGGACGCGCTTGCTTTACGAATTTTCTTACAAATTAAAGATTTATGTTTTGAAAAGTGCGATTTAAATATTAGAATTGAAGACAGCAAACTAATATATACTCCACTCTCACGAAATTTTGTTGTATCAATTCCGTATAATTTCGTCTTCTTCTTTTTTTTGTTTGTTTATTTAGTTGGCGTATTTAACTTGATTTTTTGCAATATTCTAAACTAAGACAAACTTTTAACGACAAATATTATTATTAACTGTGGTTTCAAAGTTTAACGTTTACTATTCTTATCTTTCGCAATTTTTTCCTACTATAAAGCTCTCTCTCATGTTTTAAATCTAATGTTGAGTGCGTAAATTGTTAATTGTTGTCGATCGGTACGAACTAAATATTTGTGTATAAAATTTGCAAAGCATTTGCATTAGAAATTAGCAAATTGTCTTACTTCCCAACTTTCTCCGCCAAGTGTGCTCAAACCAATTTATTCCTTATCCACTGTCGCGATATTAAATTTCAAATAAATATTCGGACTAACTTTAATTATAGATATCGCGTGTCCCCACATATTCTTTTTTTCGCGATCTCAAAAATATGGCGACAAAGCTCTTTGCTAATAACTTCTGCTGCTTCAAGTCGATAATATTTCCGAGAACAGAGAGTAAAGTAGACATGTGTACGCTTTTCGAGTTGTTTAGTTTGATAATTTCTAAAGATAAGAGCTGTCGAGATATGTTGTTTGTTGAGTTTAAGAAATGATGCTTGAATCTTTGCCACTCTGCCGAGTTTTGCAGTCTACCTTTGAACATTAGGAGTTTTTAATGTTTTTTATTCGCATTTAGTGCCTACTAATTAAACTTACACTAATTTTAACTTTTCGAACTGAAAGCTCACCTGGAAGGCCCTCTTCAGTCAGTGTTATTTGTTTTAAATATGTAAAAAAAAACAACAGAAAAAACAGAAAATTCGTACTTACATTTGTTTTTATAAACTCCTCTTCAAAATTAATGCACCCCTATCAATTTCGTAATTGTGTTTTTATTTTCCACTCTTTATTTAATATAGTAATAATAATATAAGTAAAGATAATTAATCACTGTTCCACCAGATAACATTTAATTTTTAGTTAATGTCCGAAGAATTATACACAAATTGGCGAACAAGTACAAAAAATTTAAAAAAATAGATTTTAAAATTTCGTCGAGGTGCAGGCTAATTGGGGCTGGGTCATGGCGTCGAAATAATCTTTATAGAACAGAAAGGTGCTCTATTGAATTTAGGTCTGAGCTGCGAGGTGTCCACTGCAAGTTCTGGATGTTGATTTCATTTAAGTAACCCAAAAAAAATCTCCTTTAAACGATACAAACGGTGTTACGTGATCATGAATAATGTTTTCTCCTTTGGAGAGATACTTCGGTCACAAAATCTTTATCCAGCCTTGCGCCATACTTTATCATTATCTGTAGACCGTTAAGGCACAAATCCTAACATTTCTAGCAGTTTCGAGTTGATTACTTAACTCTCTACTAGTTAAGAGTGTGTTCTGGTTTACTTAAGTCTTCTGGCCGTTGTTGAATGATTAACAACCATTAAATTGTGCATAGTGCATACTGCTTCCCTTTTCTAGCAAATATTTAGGCTCTTATCTTTTCCTAACGAATTTGTTAAATATTGACCTAGTAAAGTAACCCTCACAAAAGAATAACCTGCAAAAGTTAAAGAGTTTCTTTATGGGTGACCCTGTATATGCTAAAATATACCTAAAATCTGCACCTAAAACCCAAGAAAAAAATTGCAGCTAAGAAAAAATAATATTACTTTCCTGAAATAATCATCAGTGCGATCCATTATTTCGTATTTGATTTTCATTCAGAAAACTACTCGTTGCTCTGACGTTACTGCCCGTTAAGAAATCCGAATGGATCTCGCCGACAATAACAACTATTGCAACGAATCGATAGCGAAAAAAAAAATCGAAATCGAAAAAAAAACAACAATACAAGTGACGAAACTAAAAACGGCGATTGTTTTCGAGATTGTTGCCTCCACGCCATCAGAGATACAGTTGCCGGGCAAAAATAAATACGAAAACAAAGCGAAAAATAGGCGTTATCGAAAGGCGCTTTGTTTATAAACAATTTGTATTGTTTCACAACCTCACAGGTTGCGTAACAGGAGTTGTTGCAATCAAAATGATGCCAGAGATGAGCTTACCATTGGATTTTAAATGAACCAAAGAGTTCGTTTGGATCTATCTGAAGAAGGCTCGCCTTCAAAACTATAAAACAGAAACCATACTTTTGTTTTTTGTAGTTTTTCTATTTTGGAAACATAGCACACTAGTTCATCATCAACATCAATATGTTTCTAAAGTTATGTCTTTACTGTAAAAAATTTAAAGAAGAAGATAATAAACATTGAACATTTCTAAACTTCGCTCGTTTTTGCAGCTAAACTTCAATACGGAGCAGGCAAGGAGTCGATCTCCCTAGCGGAAGGTATGCCGAACGAGGTCACCTTCCCATTCCAGGCGATCAATTTCGTCCTGAAGGACGGCCTGTCGATCACTCTCCAAGGTCAGCAGTTAAACTCGGCGTTCCAGTATATTCCCACTCAAGGTTACCCGCCGCTGCTTAAAAAATTGAGAGATTTCACGTACCAGATGCATATGCCTCCGAACTGGCACAACACGGACATTATCATGACCAACGGGTCGCAAGACGGTATTAGCAAGACGCTCGAGATGCTCATCGAAGATGGTGATGATGTTCTGGTGCAGAATCCGTTATACGCAGGCACCGAAGTCATCGTAAGTAATATTGGTTCTTTCCCCAGATCTAAAAGACGAGAACTCATTTGGGATGAACCGGAATGAAAATAATAGGAATGATAATCATTAAAATTTTCTTTGTAATTACCCGTTGATATTTCTATTCTTTAAACTCAGTAATAATTAAATGTAATTATTTTCCGCGCAACAATTTAATTTTATTATTGAAAAATGTAACTTATCTTATTTTTATTAAATTATTGCTTATCGTTTTTACAGAGATTTGCAAATGGAAATTACATATTAGCAAAAAATTATCTTAAATATTACTTTTTGTAACACAAAAATTGATTTGTAATATATTTTGGACCTTGCAAATTATTGCGACAAATTCCGTGCATACATCGCCACAAAATGTGTTTCCAATAATTTCACTTTCTAGTTGTAGTATGCAAAATTCTTATAGGAGTCTTAGCGTTCAAATCGTTCTATTAAAAAAATTCAACTCATTCAGCAACACACAGTTCGCAGGTCAGATAAGATAAAAATTAAAATCAAATGCTTATTATAATCTTAAAAAAAGAGTATAATCATTTTTGTTCCATAAATATTTGCGACGCGTTTATAAACTTCTATGGATTAGCATTGACAATTTGAAAGGAAAGGAAAAGGATAATTGTATGTTAGGAAATCACTCCAGATATAATCAAAAATCTATTAAGGAAATTTAATGAAAGAACTATTAAATGTCTAGAAAGGGATGGTAGATAAGTTGAATTTTTAGTAAACGGAAATGAAATATAAATTATTTTGATTAAATTATTGTTATGAATGAATGCTTTTCTTTTTATTCAATAGAACATTGTTACAGAACTTAATAGTGAGCTGAAAGGTTATCATTCCTTGAATAATTAGCTGATGTTTAATTTATTTACAAATTTGCATAATTGAATTATTTTTTTAATGGGGGATGGATAAGACATCTGACTATAGCTTTCAATTATGATAAATTTCTCTTAATAACACTTGTTTCACATATGGTACCGACTTAATGGAACATCAATTTATATTTTTATTTGGTACATCTTAATTTTGAAGTCATATGAACGTAATTCAACAAATTAAAAAAGTATTTTTTATTAAACTCAAAAATTCCTCTCGTCCGCAGCTGAAACCGTTCAAGGTCAACCTAATCGGCATCGAGCAGGACGAATTCGGCATTCTGCCGAGCAAACTGATCGACGCCCTTGAAAACTGCAAAGCCTACACGGAAGAAGGCGGAGGGAGGAAGATGCCAAAATGCATCTACCTCAACCCGACAGGTTCGAACCCGACGGGTGCCACAATGTCTCTCGAGAGACGTAAGGAGGTTTACGATATTTGCTGCAAGTACAACATCCTTATCCTCGAGGACGACGCTTATTACTTCCTGCATTTCCTCGAAGAAAGACCTGTGTCGTTTTTGTCGTTGGACGTTGAAGGAAGAGTAATAAGGTTCGACTCCATGTCGAAAGTATTATCGTCGGGGTTGAGACTCGCGTGGCTGACCGCCCCCAAGCCTTTGGTGAGGAACGTGGAGCTTCACATGCAGAGCTCGTTACTGCACTCTAGCACATTGTCGCAGGTAAGATTTTGTTCTTTTTAAACTGTTATGAATATGAATATGAAAAAAAAGTCTCTTGATTTTTGTTTCATTTTTTGGCATTTTTCCTATTTCTTTTTGATTCTGATAGTTATATGGTCTTCTAAAGGGGTAAAAAAAATATGTTAAAATTAAATTACGGTGTATAAAATATTATAACAAAAAATTCATAGAATCAAAAACTTATTTTTTTTCATAAAAATATGAAAAGTATAATTCATATTCTTCCCGCTGTTTAACACAAATCTTCTTTCAATGGTCATAATGCTAAAATTCCAAAATGAATTGAATGAATTGACAAATTGGTTCTTTTATTTTTTATTTAATTGCGCCATAGTTTTGTTTTTAAATAAGCAATATTGAGAGAAAACTAATAAAAATGCTGCTATTAACTTGTAGTGGTAAAAAAGATTATTGATTATAGGTACAATAAAATCGTTAGGCTAAAATGTAATTGGCAAAATTAAATCTGAAAATGAAATAGTTAAAATTAGTTGATTTAGTTTTGACAGTCTTGATCTTTCTTGCTTTTACCCGTTTATCTTTGGGAGAGGTGAAAAATTATATTTATTTTAGTGCAATAATGCAACTTCCTGATCTTTTTTTTTTGGGGGTTTTCAAGATAATTTTGGTATTATTATCGCCTTTATAAAAAATGTAGTATAATTCTACGGCTTGACAGCCCAATTTTTTTTTTCAATTACTTCGCTTTTTTTTCTTTCGTTTTTCACGATTGGGTAAACAAATTCTAATTGTTTCTTAATATGTTTAACGGTATGCGTACTTTAAGCTTTTCAATGTCATCGATGGCATTAGACTAAATATGTTGTCTAAGCTAAGGCAAAGTATGCGATAACGCAATTATCGTAGTCGTTAGTCGTTACCAAGAAATGCGTCAAAAAATATGTTCCGTTGATTTTCACAATAAAACATTAATCAAATCATCTCAAATTTTTTACATCTTGTAATTTTTAATGCTTTTTTATACAAAAAATGCTCAAGGATGTTCGAAGCGATATTTAACTTTAAAAAATCGCTGTATTTTCTGAGTACTTAAACTAAACTTAAAGAAAGAAGTCGCCATGCTCGCCACTGGTTAAAGATGTGTGCTTCGGGAATGATAAGATGCGGGAGTTGCTAAACGACAGTTTAAGTAATACAGATATGCCTATTAGAATCACAAACTAGTCAAAATACGGTGCAGGAGTATGCAACCAATTATACGTTAGCGCATTTTGCGGCACTCGCGAGAAGATGATTTACTATTCTTCGCTCGTGCGGAAAAATGCTGCTTTGCTCATTGTTTCATTGTTCAGAGTTAGATTTTAATTAATTTTCAATAGCCGGAAAATGTACTTGACAAACGAAATAATTGATAATCGTCGTGTCCAGAGGTCGACGAATGTTGCCGTATCGACATATCAATTTGTCAGTTCCACGATTGTTTCTGTTACAGTATTCGATTACGCAATTAAAAACAGAAGTGACCGAAAGTGATCTACATATATAAAATTGGAAATGCCTGCTCGTTATCTGGCCGTTAAAAAACAATTTCGGTAAAACGTTTGGTGTGTAGTCGCACTACTAGATTGTACACATTTTTTTTGTCACCGATAGCATTGAACGTTGGTCAAAATAATAGACGACACACACGAAACGGTTAGAAAGAAATTCCCGCGAAACGTTTAATGTGCATGTGTACTCACTTTCGTTTTTAACGTAGAGCGTTTCAATTTAAATAAAAAGAGGGAAAACATGGACCTCGTAATGTTTTGTTCTTTACAATAATTATAGGAAATTATAGATTATTTTTGACAACCCATTTTCGTTTAAACTAGAACGAAAATAGACGCGTCATAACTATTAGTGGGCTGTTTCAAACTGAAAACTACGATTTGGGAACTCCTATAAAAAATCAAAAGCTTATTACATCAAAAGATGTAATAAGATGTAAATAGGTTGCGTAAAAACCTGTGGTACCATATAAAGCTGCTATAATGGCTTAAAGTAGCACTTCATTTCTAATTTCTTGTGATAAAGTAAGTCACATTTTAGGATTTAAGGGTACGTAGTTTTCACTTAAATTATATTGAATTTATTTATAAATTACAGTTAGAACGCTTAAATTAAAGCTTAAATCTTAATTCTTACGTTATGTTAAAGCTCAGCTGTTAAATCAGCCATTATTGTACTCATAACCTCTTAAGGTTATCGGATTTATTTCATGATTCATTCGTTCATTAATATTTTAACAAAAAAGGGATGCGGTTCATACTTTTTTTGTTTTTACGTAGGTGCGCTTTTAGTTAGGATTTTATAAGTCGACGTTTACGTCAACGTCAAGGCTTTCTTTTTCCGTATAGCCTTCGGGGGTCGACGCGACGTCGCTCGGCCTTAAGTGAACGCGGAAACGTTTGACAACCGATTTATCGCAACGCTCGCATCGTAAAACACAAAAAAACCGTTTATTAGATACAATTTCATTAGAAGCCCTTTGACCCTCTCGCGGCCAAGCAGATACCGAAAGAGAGTTTCGCACACGCACATTGACGATCTGTACGTTGACCCACTATGAAAATAAGTGCCGTTATCGCTATCCATTCAAACATAAATTAAATAAATACTAATGTATCCGTCGAACTGGTTTTAACCGGTTCGTCTGAACTGGAAACACTTGACAAAAAATGCTTATCCGGGATCGCGGCCATTTTTATGATGTAAAAGCAGCCGCGGTTGTTGTTTTTCGTACGGCGGCATTAGCAATTTCAAAATCCCTATTCAGGCTTATCGGACGGTTGACGCAACTGACGCAATTTGTTTGCTTCAATTTTTTTAAATCGAATTTTGCAACCTTTCGGCTAAACTCGTTTGATATAGAAAAACCATGATGATAAAAAATATAAGTTCGCGTAGAAAGTAACGTTATTTCTTCCTCTAATAGAATCCACCCTTTTTTTGCTCCTTATAGAAGATTTCTAATTTTCAAATTGCAATCGCAGAATAAGATCATTCAGCAGCGCCAAATGGCGGGGATAACGAATTAACGAAAAATATATCTTTAGACTTTCTGCTTGTCTTGATATAAACCTTGATATAAACCTTGAAAATACTCTCGTACAAAGTGGAGCTTCAAATTGAAAATATCTTCTTTATTTCCAGGTGATCCTCGACAACCTGCTTACCAAGTGGGGTTACCAAGGGCTCATTTCCCACGGTGCTTACGTCTCCGCATACTACAAGGCTCGTCGCGACTTTACCGTCGCGTGTATGGAGAAGCACCTGAAGGGTCTTTGCGAATGGACCATCCCCAGTGGCGGTATGTTCGTTTGGATTAAAGTCCACGGCGTCGCAGACGTCTACGACATGCTGATGACTCGCGGTCTCAAAAAGAACATCACGTTGGTGCCCGGACACGCGTTCATGGTTGATCCCACCGAAGCCTGCAACTGCATCAGGGCGTCCTACAGTAAGGCAACCCTCAAACAGATAGACAAGGCGATGCAACTGTTGGGCGAACTGATAAGGGAAGAGCACGTGTTGTTGCGAAGGAAGCTCGACGGTTTGGAGAATTCGATACTTAGATAGTTGTGATGTACGGGTCGGAGAATATAAATATTGAAGGGGGGCGTATATGGGGATTTTCTTGGGCCCCGCCCTCCGATATAACCCGAGCGCGCGCAAGCGCGTTTCTTATTACCAGGGTGTGTTAGAGCCTGGCGTCTTGGTGGCTGCCTATGGAGTCGGGTGGAGGAAATCTGGGGGGTTCTCGCGACATTCGTGACTTAGAAGTATACGTAATTTAATTAATTTGACTTGTAAATAAAACGATGAGATTCCTTTGTGCGTTTCATTTTACCCCACCGAAGAAAATCTAAGAAGAATTCACTCGGTATCGTTTGGCCTGAGGTTTAGTAATGCCAAACTGCATATACTACATACTTATAATTCGTTCATTGACGCAAGAACTCGTCTATGTTGGTTCCCACCTTTAGCTCTTGTGGGGATAGCTCAGAAACGGTTGCTAAAATCATCTCCTATCCAGGACAACTTTTTTATCTAAAATACTCTGTAGAATAAGAATTTTTGAATAAAAGTAAAACGTCTAAAATATCTAATTATGAAGGTCAGCCGGTGAATGTAGTCCTGCTGCTTTGCAAAAATTAATAGTCCTGGAAGAAGTATAGTATGCAACACGTTGATAAACATCTTCAGCCATTCGTTTATTAAACACTCGCTCCGCCAAGCTCTGCTTGTGCCAAAAAAAAAACTGCTCACTAAACTGGCTTTTATCAAACCTGCTGTATAATATACTATTTTAAATCGGAATGTTAAGAACAGTGCATTTTTTCTCAATTTTTCGATGTGCATTTGTTTATTTAGCCTGGGAGATTCTGGCCCCGATTCGACGAAACGTATGACAAATCTTGCAGGTGGGGCGTTAAATTATAACCATATTTCTAGGGTCCCAAATTGATTGTAATTATAATATAATTATAATATATCATTAGTGGATTTCTTCTTCTGATCTTACTTAAAAAACAAAATTTGCTCTAAGAAAAATTCTCACTGTGTGGCAAGTGCGCGTTTGAACAGTTTTTTTATTCATATAGAATTTATTTTAACAATCATTAAGTTTATCAAGGTTACTAACATTATCATGTTTAGAGTAAAAAGGGGTCACTATTTTTTTAATTTGTTTAATTTTTGTGGACTAAATAACTAACATTTTTTTGCGTTTTGAAGGTTTACTTTATTTTAAAGCTAAAATAAATGTGAACTCTTTGGGAACAACTGAGCGGACCATTTGAAAAAAATTATAGCAGTTTTATCTTTTTATCTTTCAGGGTGTCCAAAATATGGCACGAAATATGGTATTTAAGAAACGAAACATGGTGGCATAATTCTGTTTACGGCATATTCATGAAAAACTTACACAGGGTCATTTTACAGACTGGAGTAGAAAAAAAGGTTTTTTTCTATTCCCTGCTTTAGTTTTTCGTATCTGCTTGCGCGCTGGGTTATATATTTTTTCTACTCTCCTAATTATACACCGATCTAGTGTGCGGGAAGTGTCACTTTACCAGGTGAGTTTCTTGCCCCACGGATGCACGCCGCTTCGGCAATCGGATGTTTTCGGAGATTTTACCGCACGGCTTGAATTTTCACGTTTGGCAATTCTGAAGGTCATGTCATGAATGTATTCGTGTTGTTTTGTAAAAATGTATCCAAAAACTAAGGGTCGTAGAAAAAGTATAGTATGCAACACGTTTGGTAAACTTTTTAAATGCCGTTTACCGCACTTGTTGCATAATATACTATTAACACGACGTTTCGACTAGAAATTATCATTACCCGTTATCAAGTGAAAACTGGACATTGGACAATGGAAGTTCGAAGCGTAGAATGGACCAGAATCAATCCTTGTCTACCTTTAGAGAAACCAGTATGGGTGTGCCGACTCCGGGGTAGCTTGACGCAGTCTTAAGGGTAAGTTGGGATACACAGAGAAAAAGAAATATTTTAATTAATTATAGCACCAAAAATGAAAGCGTTTAAGGGCTTACTGGTTGATCAGAGTCTCTGAGATACAATTAGGACATAAAATGTGTCGTGGTTCAAGACCAGGAAAAAAGAGGAATCTGCACATCTATCTACAACTATACTGAGAAAAATATATATTTAAATAAATAGTTTGAAATTTGCCGGCCTGACGCCTGATGCAGCTCCAGTATCACGATAAAACTTTGTCTCCTTTTAAATATGCATCTTAATAGGCTGCGAAAAAAAAATTGAAGTCTTGCGTCGTATGATTTTTTATGGACAGCATTTTAAACAAGACATGTCCGAAAAAATGTCACACATAACGCAAATTGAGTATAGAACAGTCATAAAGTTTTTGACAAAAGAAGGGTTAGCACCTAAAATTATTAAAGAAAGGTTGGATAGTGTGTACGGCCAAAGTTCTCCTTCGTATTCTGTAGTGAAAGAATGGGCAAAACGTTTTCGAATGGGGCAGGACTCCCTTGAAGATGATTCAAGAACTGGTCGACCAGTGGAGGTCGTAACGGAAGATATTGTTGCGATTGTGGAAGAGGTTCAGAAATTACTAAGCTTTCTGATACAAGTGTTCGTCGAATACTGCATGATTATTTAGGTATGCATAAGGTTAGTGCAGGATGGGTCTTTTTTGGAACTCTGTAGGTCGGAACCGAAGCCTGTGATAGAAACTATTGTGACGGGAGATGAAAATATGGTTCTCTATTATGACCTTCTATCGAAAAAGAATCAATGGAGTGGCGTCGTAAGGGTGAAGCACCTCCAATAAAATTCAGAGTCTGCCAGTCAACAAAAAAGGTGATGGCCACGATCTTTTGGGATTTTGAAGGAGTTCTTTGATAGATTTTAAAGAAACTAATACCACTGTCAATGGTAAATATTACGCAACCATATTACATAAATTGCGATGCTGCATACGTGTAAAACGTCGAGGAAAACTGACCAGAGGCGTGCGTCTTTTGCACGATAATGCACCTGTCCATACTGCTGGTGTTGCACAAGCTGCCATTTTAGAGTGTGGGTTCCAACAGATCATCCTCCTTATAGTCCAGATATAGCCCCCAGCGACTATTATTTGTTTGGATATTTGAAAAAGGACTTACTTGGACGGCGGTTTAACGACGAAGTTAAGTTAAAACAGGCTTTTTTAGCTCATTTTGCAGACAAACCAAAAGATTTTTTTTTAAAGGGATTGAGTTGTTAATAAAGAGATGTAATAAGTGTATTGAAGTTTTATTCAAAAATAATAAAAAAATGTTACTCTGCTTTGTTTCTTTCGTATTCAGGCCTGGAAATTTTGGCTTCGCCCTCGTACGTAGCAAAAGGCTAACCAATTTAGACATGTGGCAAGGCGAGCCAGACACTGTTAATTTAGAATAAGCAGGAGATAATTTATTATAAAGTAATAAGGGATTAACAAAAGGGAAAGTGAAGGATGAGCGCAGAAAAATAAAGGTGAATTTTTTTAATAAGCTATTAGCTCATTTATGAGGTACTTTTTAAATTTTATGAAAAAGTCGTGTTCGATGTTGCGGTGAATTTTAAGAAGGATCAGATTGATATGAAGACGTTTTTTTCATGTGCCATGTTTTTTCAAATACAGTCTCTTTCGCTTTTATGGTTGCTGTTCCTCTTTTTAATTTTACTGCAGTTGTTATCGTTGGCGTTAAGGTACCCTCAAACCAACGCGAATTATTCGCAGCGGCAGCAATAGCGAAAATTCCGCGACGACAGTGGCAGAGAAAATCGCCTAGAACTTCACACCGCACAGAAGACAATGTACTCCTCATCTGATGAAGAAGAGGCACTTTTGTTACTTGCATTAGAAGCTAAAGAAAATGTGAAGTAGGTATATTTTTTGCTACACAGTATTTATTTATTAGTAAACGATTGGTGCTGATGTTTGTAGGTTCATAGTATAAACTTTAAACGAAACAAGTATGGAGAATTTCATACATTGATGCCAGAACTCCGAAAGGATAAAAAAGGCTTTTTTATATATTTCGGAATGACTAGTGACTATTACCTGATAAAAAATATCGTGAAACTATTTCAGCTGAAGAACGACTTGCCTTTACATTGAGATAAAAAAATACAAATTAAGGAAAATTAAGTTACCTATGTATTTTGAAACGAGGCAAGTGGGAATTTTTGTTGATACTTGTTATTGTTACTGAATGGATTAAAATAAATAACAAAGTTATTGATTCCTTGAGACTACTGAGACACATTTGTCAATGAAATATAGGTATTATTGTCCTGTGAAAATCTAGATGAAGAACTGGTATCTCCACTTTCAGGTTTCGGCACTGGTGCAACATTAGAGTTATGTAAAAATCCAGATAAAGTGCTGGAAAGAGAAGAGCAGTTCCTCATGATGCAAAAGTTCCTGCTCCATGATGACTTGAGCAATTTTCAACTTATTTATCCTTGAATAGTTGAATAGTATATAGTATGTAGGGAGGTATGTTAATAAAAAACAGTTTCAGTACTACCTACCATTTACATTCAAATTTTTGTCAATCTCATCTCATATTTTATCTTTCTTCCTAATGTTTTTGTAAACATCATGTTTTAAATATTGGGTATTTTTTTTCTTTTGCTTGCGAACCAAGAATCGTGCGATAAAAGCGCTGTTGACAGCAAAACTAAATTCGACACCAAAAAAACGCTGTACAATCGCAGTTACTAATTACACACCGATCAAGCGTGCGGGAAGCGTCACTTTACATGTCAGTTTCGTTTCCCACGGATTCGAGCCACTTCGGACATTTCCGGGATTTTACCGCACCGCTTTGGGAACAATCGGACGTTTTCAGAGACATTTCCCACACCTTGAATTTTGACGTTTGTCAATTCTGACAGCCAAGTCACTGAATATATTCGTGTTGTTTTGCAGAAATGTATTAATACACAGAAAAATGTTATGCAATATATCAGACAATTTAAATACTACGGACTATAAGCTACAATTAAAATCTAGTGGACTATTCTGTAAGTAAAGTGACATTAATAATTTAAGTTTCGCACAGAAATTTTACATACCTTTCGCATAAACTTTAGTTGTTTTTACAGTTTTTATATTAATATCTTTCCAAGACCAATTGTACCATTTTCAAATATCCATGTCTCATTAGTACAAACAAAAAAAAATTGAAGGTTAGGACTTGCTTATCCTTGCTTATAGGATTTTAAAAATATAATCCTCTAAAAAGCTCTCTCCTTTCATGATTTATCTTCCGATTACAGTCTTGTTCTTTAAATAATCTACTTAA